GGGGGGGGGGGGGGGGGGGCGAGAGGGAGAGGGTTTGTGTGTTTACATACCGCCATAGGTTCTGAAGACGAGAGTGTCTGGTTTGACGGGTCCCCATGGGTTGTAGGCGAGGTCGGTGACGGCGCCCTTGTAGACGATGATGTCGTACACCTCGCCGTAGAAAAACGGCTCGGGCGGCTTCAACACGATGTCGCGCGTCTGGTTGGATATTATGTACTTCTGGCGCATGCCCGCCTCGAAGTCAGGAATAATGGTGATGTTCTGCTTCGAGTGACGACCTGCAGTGAACCACACACATCCAGCCATTATCCACACACGTGTGCACCCATATATATCATGCATACCGACCGGCAAAGACGATGGCTGCCCAGTGCCCCCAAGTGACAGGCTCGTCGAACCTCATCACAATCTCAGTGTCGATGGGCACGTCCCGCGCACCGATGGCCGGCTTGATGTCGATGAGGGTGGGGGGCGTCTTGTCGGGCGCCTGGGCGCATTTCACGTGGACCCGCTGCTCGATGAAGCCCTTGTTGTAAAACTTGAGCCAGGAGCCAGACATGGGGCGGTCGGGCTCCTTGGACTTGGCCACCATGTCTGGATCGGCCAGAGCCAGCATCTGATCGGTCTCCAGGTTGTTGTCGATCAACCAGGTCGCACGCGCAGCTGATGCGATGCGATGCGATGCGAGAGGGACAAACATACAAACATGACACACGAGAGAAGGGCGTTGGGTGTGGTGTGGGTGGGAGGAGGTTGTGTTGTGTGTTCGGCTTACTGTCTGATTTCTTTCGCCAGTAGAGGAACAGATTGGCCCCCTCGCCACCCCGCCACGACGCCTTGCCGTTCTGCGGCTCGATGGACGTGTACAGGCCGTTCGCATTGCCGTTGGGCGTCAGAAAGCCTAAACACACACACATACACACACACGCGCCCACACCCATGCGTGTCTGTCTCAGGTTGCTCCCGCCCGCCAGTCTGTGTGTCTCTCTGTGTACCTTACTTACCGGTGACATAGATGAATGGGCATCCGGCGTCCTTTCGCAGGGAGAAGCGGTAGTTGACCCGACCGCCATTCCAGTTCCCCTGCAAGTCTTTGACGATTCCCAGCTCGTACGCCACGAGGTAGTCGCCGGGCGGCAAGGACCTGATGCGCTGGTCGGGGATGACCGTCAGCTTCTGCCCGTCCAGCTTGACGTCGTAGTGCGCCCCCGAGGGCTTCCGTCCGATCATCATGTCGTACTGTTGCGACTGGTTGTTGGTGTTGATGAGAACGATGCGGCGGTAGTCCTCGGCGACCTCGACGTTCTCGTTCCAGACCATGGTGATCTCCTTGAGCGGCGGGATGGCCACCGAGTTGTTGCGTGGGTAGGTCGACTCGACGAACGGGGGGTAGGTGTCCTTCTGGCACTCGCCGTCCACACAGAACTCGCCGTCAGCACACTCACTTGTCAGCACACACTCACCTGCACGAAGCCATGCATGCCGTGGATAAACAATACCGTCCGTGGTGTGGTGTGCCGTGGGGGATGGGATGATGGGATGTGGGGAGGGGTTGTGTAGCGTAGCGTACCGACAGAGAGGATGCCCAGGTCGGCGTCGAAGTCCTCCTCCTGGTTGCAGGGGATGCCGTCGCCGCCCAGGTCCTGACCGCTGCACCCGCACATCCGATTAGTACCTGCACACACACATGGGCGGGCGCAATAAGAAAGAGCGATGGCGGAGACAGTGAGAGCATGAGCGCTTTTGTCTGTCTTGTCTTTTTTACCGACGATCATGTCAGTGCCGAGATTGATGTCGCATGTGTTGTCCTTGTCGACGTCGAAGAGGCAGGGCAGGGCTTTGCTGTCGATGTAGTCGGGGTCGAGGGCGCGGTCGGCGCCGCACTCCTGAGACAGAGCCAGCGGGACCACCTTGAACACCTCGCGAGTTGCCTGCACACGACACACACATCAAGATGAGATGAGATGACGGTAGATTTGCGGGATGAGTGTGTGTGGGTACAATACATTGGATGCGAGTGCGGCGATGGTGCACTGCTGGTCCATGACGCATTGGTAGGCGGTGATGCCCGCCTGTGCGGCCGTGACGAGGAACCCGCCGCAGTGCATCCCCGTGCAGTAGGCGAACAGCTTGTTGGTGCAGTGCTGGTTGTCTGTGCACTCCTGCACACCCAACATACCTGCAGCCACACACACACCACACACCATCCACACACCACCCAACCACAAACATATGCCCGAATGAATGAATGGACGTCAGAGGGATCTGACATTCAATGGCGTACGTGCTACGCACCTAGAGGGACTCTATAGTCTTCCGGTTCGTCGCAGGGTGTCTCTGATGGCCCGACATTCATCCCCGGGCAGCCGCACAGCCGCACGCCCTCTCGCTCGATGGAGGCGTTGCGCCGGAAGCCCACACCGAAGTTGACCTCACACCCGTCCGTATTGCCCGCCTCGCATGGATGCACATTCTGCTGGAACATCGAATCTGCGGACATCACACAACACAACAACATCCGATCCGCCTGTGCTGTGCATGTCGCTCGCTGTGCCTGTCTGTCTGTCCGTCCTGTGCGTGGTTACATACATTTGCCAGGGAGGATGGCTCCCGCGCCGCACTGTGCGTGTGGGCTGATGGCGGCCACCACAAAGGTGTTGTCGATGCCGCTGCCGGGGAGGTCGTCCTTTGTCAGCTGGCAGAAGTAGCCCTCCACGCATATCTTCATCCGGCTGTCGGTCAGGTCCGGCTCGAGCCCGCGGCACCGCCCGTCAGTGCACACACCGAACCCCGAGAAGCAGTCCCCGTCCACCTGACACTTCCCCCCGGCCCCCAAGGCAGTGACATTGCCTGACTGAGTGGCGTTGGGCGGGCTCGCATTGCCGGCCGCCTGCAGCCGTCTCGCCACGTGCGTCGACGGCCTCCCAATGCCGCCCTCATACCCCATGTCGATCTGAATCATGTGGGAGGCGGGGTGGACGGTCAGCCTCCCCAGGGTGGAGGTGAAGTCCTCCGGGTCGGTGCAGTTGTTGACGTCTGCGCATCCGCAAAGGGTGGCCTCCATGGCGTCGGTCATGATGCCGAGATTGACGCGGCAGTTAGTCTCGTCCTCACTGCCGGACGCCAGACACGGCCAGGAGAGCACGTGGGCCGGGAGGGGGAGGGATGGGGGAGCGCCCGCGTCGAGGCCGGTGTCGGTGGTGAGGTTGAGGTGGTGCTGGCTGTGGGTGTTTGGGAGGACGAGGAAGCCCTCATTGCGCCAGCGGGCGGGCTCGATGGGCGCCAGGGGGGCGTGGACGGACTCGGGCTCTTCCTGATGCACTATCAACCTGAGTCAGGAACCAGCGTCGCACACATGACAGACAGATCTCCTCACTCTCTTTGCATCCACTCATTCAAACATTCCTTGAGCGTACCCCGGTGTGTCGGCTCTCCCGCAGACAGGCGTGACTTGATCAACGGCCCCATCCTCGCTCTCCTGCCCAGACTGGTGTATCATGAGGGTCACTCTGTACTTGGGCGTCACCTTCACCCCATCAATGTTGGTCAGGAAACACAGCGAGTGGCTCTCGCAGTAGAAGTGCGGCATCTTCTCCTCCATGGAACCAGAAGAAGAATAGTAGGGGTCGACGACAGGCGTGAACCCCCGCATGGCCAGCTGCCCCAGGGGCACCGGGTAGTCGGCCGGCTCGCTGCAGGACACGCCGTCCCCGCCCACGTCCACATTGGGGCAGCCGCACAGCCGATACACACGCATCTCCTCCACCACACCCAAGCTGTGTGGCACACAGCTCCTCTCGCTCGACGGCACACATGACGCCGCCCTCTCCTCACGATTGTCCACTCTCCCGCAAGACTGACTCGCGTCGGCCAGCAGCTGCACTCGGTGGGTCGCACCCCTGACGGACAGATCGAAGTGGCCGGGGAGGCGGGGGAGAGTGCACTCGGCCCCGACAGTGCACTCGTATCTTGGCTTGTCTGATCCAGCGAAGCCGGTGCACTTGCCCTTGTAGCACGACCGCCCGTTGCCGCAGTCGGTGTCGTCCTCACATCCCCTCAGCTCAGAGAGGACGGTGTTGCGGCGCTCGCGGGCCCATGCACCACGGGACGATGGCCCCTCAGCAAAGTCGGAGAGAGGGACGGTGATCACACGTTTCTGCACATGAAGCACAGCAGACAGGCAGACAGAGATCGCGTGTGTGCGTGCGCCCTGTGCGCCTGTCCATGTGTGTGCATCTACCAGGTGTCGAGATGTCGCCGCATCGGCGATGTTGGTGAGTGAGAGAGCGAGGGAGGCGAGGGAGACGACGACGCCCCAGAGCAGCCGGGGCGTCACCATTGTGCGTGCGATAGGTGGGCTAAGGCAGTCAGCGGCGCCTCGATGCGCCTCCCACCGTCATCTCCGTTGACGCAGACAGGGTCTTGGCCAGGAGGCTCCCGTACAGCGACACTGTAACGCAACGCACGGCAGAAAGCAAGGCTGGTTTCCACTCCACCCTTGCTTGGCGATATCTGTGGGATTCAAGTGCCCATGCAGAGCAAAACTCCTGCTCGAAATGCCGTAACGCTTTTTTAAGCTCGCAGACGTGCGATTCGTCCTCGGCGCCCTCCAAGCAGATCTTGTAATGGCGTCGCCATCCAAGCAGCGTGGTGATGCTGATGCAAGCAGCTCGGAGGGATCCACTGCATCCACACAATCCGGCCACCAACACAACAGCAAGAAATCGCACGCGAGCATGATGAAGACCAACAGCAGCAGATGGCTGGCTACGCTGATGTACTGTGTGTCGGACGTCGTCCTGCAGATTGCGCTTGCCTATCTGCTCACGCAGATCTTTGGCCCTATGCTCCGTTGGGTCAACAAGGTGGACTTCCAGACCACGGCAGGATGGTTCGGCGCCATCTACAGCATCACGCTGGCTCACTCTCTCGCGCAATACTTCATCATCGCCACAGCTGTTGATCTTCTGGCCGATCACGTCTTCCCCGAGTCCATCCAGCTGGCCACACACAAGCGGCGCAAGCTGCTGGAGGAAGAGGCAAGGGGTGCTGCAAAACAACGATCGGGGCCGCCTTATGACTACGCAAACCGTGGCTACTTTGTCAACCACATGCTGTTCACCATGAGGTAGGTGGGCAGGCAACGAACGAGATCTGGGCCCCGGCCAAAGACAGTCCAGACAGACAGACAGACAGACAGACAGACGTGTAGTCACATCATACCATTGATATGCAATCAATCAGGTGGTGTGCCCCCATTGCTTTGGGAGCGGTCGTGTGGATGCCGCAGCTGCTGATCGACGAGAACCCTCCGCTGTGGCTCATCCCACTCAAGGTAAATGTGGTGACACACACACACACATGCCGTATGCACACACAGACATACACACACCTCACCTCTGTGGCTCGTCTGTCTGTCTGTCTGTCTGTCTGTCTGTCTGTGCCACCCCTTAAACCTCACCAGGTCCAATGCGGCCTAGTGGCTGGCGACCTGGTGTACTACTGCATCCACATCTCTCAGCACAAATCGCGCACCCTCTATAAGTGGACCGATCACGGCTTCCACCACCAGTTCATCTACCCGTGGGCCAGCACCAGCACATGGCTGGGGACTGTTGACCTGCTGCTCGCCGCCTTTGCCATTGGCGCCTGCAGCGTCTTGTGCACTCAGCTCGTCTTCGGCCGGTACACACGCACACACGCTCGCTACTTGTGTGCTGGTGTGTGGCGGGAGAGTGGTGCTCATATTGGTCTATGTGTGGCTGTGTGTATGTCTGTGTGTCTGTGTGTGTGTTTGGGGGGGTTTGTGTATCTGTGGGTGCGGTGCAGGCTTTCTTTGTTTGAATACACGCTCGTCCTCAAGTAAGTGCAGTTGGTGCGTATGGACCGGTGGCAGGCAGGGAGGGAGGAGACAAGCATGTCATGTGTTCACTCACTCACGCATCTGTCTGTGTCATTCATCGTATTGCCGGTCGATGATATGATGTGTGGCTGTCAGTTATGTGCACGAGATGAACTGTGTCGACCACAGCGGGTGCGAGTTCCCCTTCTGGAGGTACTCTACTCACTGTACAGATCAGATGTGTATACGGCTGGGGGAGTGGGTCCGACACCACACCCAAACAAACCGTGCATGGCATGTGTTCTCTGTTTCTTGGGTTGTCTGTCTATTGCTCATTCTTCATCCTATCCAGCGGCTGTCCGTTCTTCCCTCCGTTGGGCTACTTGTTTAACCTCGACAAGAGCATCGCCTTCCACGAAGGTCAGTCAGCTCGGCCGTACACGCAACCAACATGGTTGCAGACAGACCATAGACAGATATTTTTCTGTCTTCCGTCCGTGTCTGTTAGCGCATCACAACTTCAACTACTACTCATTTGGCCTGCTCGGTGTGGCAGACCAGCTGTTCGGCACGGCCAAGTATCCACCCAACTACCACCACAGCTCAGACGGCAGTGTCCAGAACAAGGCAGCCTAGACGGACGGACGGACGGACGTGTGCACACGTCGACGGCTTAAGCCGTCCATGGCTGGCTACTGCCACAGAGAGGCGAAAGTCCGTTCGTCCGTCTACCTGTGGGTGGATGAGGGGAGCTGAGAAGGAATGTACAAGTGTGAGTGCGAGGCAGGGACGGGTGCGCGAGTGTACGTGTACTGTACAGCTGTGCACGTCAGTGAGTGAGTGAGTCACAGCTGTCAAGACGTGCACGGCGGGCGGGGCTGCGTTGGTTGGTGTGTTGAGTGGAGGGAGGGAGGGATAGATGGTTAGCTGGACAGACATATCCATCGCAGGCACTGCATCAGTATCAGCGGTGTGTCGGCTCGGAAATCCGTGTGCCAGCCTAGCCATGTTTGTTCGTTCTTCTGTGTGTTTTGTGTGTCGAAGGTCAGTGTGTCGCTGTGAGCGCTTTTTTATCTGGGGTGGGTGAACACCACAACGCACGCAATGGAGACAGACGTATACGGAGAGTCGGTATTTTTGAATCAAGTCACACAAACGACCGGCATCCATCCATCGCAACCAGAGCAATTCCACACCTACGGCACGCAGGCCGCGCAGCCAGGCAGACAGACATGCCACGCCATGCGTCGATTCGATGCATGGCATGGCCATCCGACAAGCAAGGCAACCAGCGCATTGCATTGCAACCAACCGCTCTAGTCACTTAGCCAGCACCAAACAGGTCATCCACCACCACAAAAGCGTGCTTACGTGTCTGTCTAGACTGCATGAGCCTATCTATGCATCTCGACAAACGCAATTAACGACAAGAAGGAACGATCGACCTACGGTCCATTCATCATTTCTTAAATATGCACCACACGAAACACCATTGTACCACTCACTAACCTGGCTGGCCGTGTCCTCGAAAATTGCCATCTGTGCGTGCGTGCGTGCGAATCTGGCTGTCTGTGTCCGTCCGTCTGTCCGTCCGTCCACCCCTGTATCTATGTATGAGTCAGCCTGGCGGCCAGCCGAGTGGCCTGCCGGCGAGGAGGTGGGCGTGTAGGTGGTACACGGACTGGCCGGCGCCGGGACCGTCATTGATCACGATCCTGTAGTCACCCAGATTCTGCTCGTGAGCTATCTTCGCTATCTAAAAGGCGCATCAGCGACACACACACATACACAGACATTCTCACACACGCGCAGGCGCCTCTGTGTTTTCGTCTGTGTGTAGTGTTTGGTGGCACCAGACTGACTGACCGCGCACATGAGGTGCCCCAGGAGTTCGACGTGCTGCGGCGCCTGCGCCAGCCTCAGCTGTGAGAGGCCGTCTTTGTTCTTGGGTATGATGAGGATGTGTGTGGGTGCCTTGGGGTTGACGTCCTTGAAGGCCAGCACCCTCTCGTCCTCATACACCTTGTGCGACGGCATCTCGCCAGACACGATCTTGTCTGATGCCACGATGCAGACAGACACAACACACACGCACACACGCAGACATACAGAGAGGGAGGGGGCGTGTCCTTGTTTGCATGTGGTCTGCATTTTTTCTGAGATTCATCGGATCTTGTTCGTCTGGTGTGGCCGTACCGAAGATGGTCTTCTCGTTGGGATCCCCTGCCATCTTTGCTGCACCTCCACTCGACCACCGAACGCCTCTCAATCGGTGCAGACCCGATGACAACCAAACTCCCTGCGTTTGACTCAGTAGCGACTGCCTGGCTGCGAGGATGCTCTTGCTGCTGCGAAACGATGCCAAGCACCTAAGGGACGCGCCGTTCATCTATTTGCGAGCTCATGAGCCAGGGAGTAGCCAGGGAGGTAAGGTATCTTCGTCGCATCTGATCAACCATGGCGTCCTCGGAGCAGCGCCCCGTACCCAGCCGAATGTAAGAGCATTCCACAAGCATGAAAGATCAGCACCGACAGGGGGCGTGTGCGCATTGTGTGTGTCAGGACGCTTCAAACGATGAAGGGCAAGAAGGTGGGTGCGTCCAAGGGCCACAGCCTGCTCAAGAAGAAAAGCGACGCCCTCACCGTCAGATTCAGACAAATGCTCAAGACCATCGTCGAGGTAGGTGCGGTGCGCACGGCAGCCAGTCACCAGCCAGCCAGCCACACAACCGCACAGATCAGCCAGAGGCCGGCAGGCCGGCAGGCAGCATCAAAGACAGCCGATTCATCTCTGTGCATCTGGGTGTCTGTCTGTGTGTGTCCACGTGTGTGTGTGTGTATGTGCGCATCAGACGAAGAAGGCCATGGGCGAAGAGATGAAGACGGCGGCCTTCTCACTCGCCAAGGCCGAGTGGGCCGCTGGCAACTTCAAGGGACAAGTCAGTGTTTTAGGACAGGACAAGACAGGACAACAACAGGGATGCTGCAGACCTGTCTGTGTTGATGTGTGTCCACTCCACCAGGTAGTTGAGTCGGTGCGTCGCCCGGCCATCACTCTCAAGGTGACGGCCGACAACGTGGCGGGCGTGCGGCTCCCCATCTTCACACTGCAGCGAAACGAAAGCCTCGAAAGTCAGTCAATCTGCACACACGGGGAGGGAGGGAAGATACATAGATAGCTGCGTGCGACAAATGGCATGTATTGGTGTGTCCAATGCATTGGAATGTGTCTGTCTGCAGCGGTTGGTAATTTGGGTGTTGCGAGTGGAGGTCAAGTGATCATGGCGGCCAAGGAGAGCTACTTCAAGGCACTCGAGGCACTCATACGACTCGCATCACTCCAGGTCAATCACACACACACACACACACTCACACACGCACGCACCGACAGATGCATGACCGGCCAGCCACACCTCTGTGTGTGTATGTGTGTGTGTGTGTGTGTGCAGACGGCTTTCTTTACGTTGGATGAGGCCATCAAGATTACCAACCGACGCGTCAATGCACTCGAAAGCGTAAGCAACACACGGGGCGGGGCGGGGCGAGCCCACACAAACCCGGACCAGCCGGCAGCAGCCCGACCCGACGGCTGGTCTGCACTGCAAGTATCTCTCTATGCATGCTATGTGTGTCTGTTCAGGTTGTGATTCCCAGGATCGAAGGCGACATCAGCCACATAATCACCGAGCTGGACGAGCAGGAGAGAGAGGAATTCATCCGGTAGGTATCCTTCCTGCTCGGCGCCGCCACACATCATTTCACACATGCCACACCACAGTCATGAAGACCTTTGTGTGTGTGTGTGTGTGTGTGCGTCAGTTTGAAGAAGGTGCAGGCCAAGAAGCAGGAGCGCGCCGCCGCCGCAGAGGCAGATGAACTCGGCGAGGCCGGAGGAGAGGGTCAGACAGCTTGACAGCCACCTGTCAAGAGGCGTCATGCGTATGTGCATGGTATGGTTCGTGTGGTCACGTGTCTGTGGTGTGTGCTGTGCGCAGGTGGTGCGATATTCGAGGACGAAGACGACGACGTTGTATTCTAGAACCGACAGACAGATTGACAGACAAGACAGGAGGGAGGGGAGGGGGGCACCGCACCCATAGATAGCTAGCTACACAAATCGGCGGGCAGGGCAGGCGAGGGTCTCATCTCATCGGGTGTGGTGTAGGTGGTGCTTCGCTAGGCGCTTTCTTCCATCATGACATGACATGACGTGCCTGCCTGCCTGCCTGGAGTGAGTGAGTGACTGAGTTGCGTTTTTCGTCGCTGGTTTTGACCGACCGATGCGTAGACAGACAGACCGCACCTACCGTACGTGTGTTGTGAGTGACATGAGCCGCCCCTGGTCGGTCCGTCCGCCCAGTCTTTCTCTGGCTGTCTCACTCACACACACGTGTGGGTGTTCAATTGACAGACATGCATAGCCAGCCATAACACACGCACTGACCGACCTGATATCACCATCCCTCCCTCCGTTGTTCACTTCACTCACGTCAAAATGAATGGCTTGCCTGTCCTGTCCTGTCTGCGCATATCACCTCACCCACCGTACGTACCAAGGTCACTCCACTCGCGGCACCTTGACAAAAACGGGCACACCACACCACACCCGAAGTGTGCCACATGACACGCACCAAAAAGACGACACAAATTGCAGCCTGCCTGCTCCAAGCGTCACCGGAGCATCGTCGTAATTCAGACCCTCACCCATCCCCCCCCATCCCTGCTATCGACACGTGGGGGCTGTGCTGCTGACGCAGGCAGGACACTATGAGTGCGGCCAGGCAGGCAGGCAGGCAGGCAGTCGGTCTGTCTGTCTGTCTGCCTGTCTGTCTGCCTGTCTGTCTGTCTGTCTGCCCCCCTGTCTGTTTCAGTCAGCAACAGGCGGCCATCATCCGTCCTCCCCTCCGCCCCACCCATGGCATGCCCCACCCCACACCAAACGACACCCACTGACAAAAGTGGCCATCAGCACGGCACGCACCATGGGTTAGAAAGGAGGGATGGGATATATATATAAGGATGAACCATCGATGCATTCCATCTGTATGGCTGGCGTGGTCACCAGGCAGGGGCTAGTCACGGCAGCACGCTCGCCGGGCTGGGGAGCCTGAGCGCTAGCGTCACCGCACCGCTGGAGACTACCCAACCACACAAACCAGATGAATTCGTTAACCATCACGAAAGAGGCAGCAGCATTGGGACACCGTCAGTTCCCAGGTCAGTCAGAAGGAGAAAACGGGGTACTTGGGTCGTCGGCTGGTGGGGTTGAGGAAGTTCCAGAAGCACCAGGTCATGATGGGCATTGCGATGTAGTTGTTGAGCACCAGCGCCAGCGTCAGGTTGACCAGTATGTGCAGCGGGGTGTTGTCCCAGTGAGCGTGGAGCGGCCCGATAAACATGCCCACCAGCACTACTATCGGGTACAGCCCCAAAAACGACACCAGAATCGTCTTCCACCTGCATGTGATGTGTCCACACACACCAATCCGACCCAAGTTTCTCGTGTTGCGCCTCCTTCCCTCTCTCTGGCTGAGCTGACCTGGGTGTGGATTTGGGTGCCATGATGGGGAAGACGAACCAGTCCTCGTGCGACACCTCCACAGTCTCTGACTCGCAGTACTGACGCACCACCTCAAGGAAGGCACGCAGCTCCTCTGACTCCTCCCAACTGAAGCAATCAATAAACGGACGGGATGGGTGGGCGGATGGGTGGTCAGGTGAGGTGAATGAATGGATGGACACGCAGGCAGGACGTGCACTGCACTGCACTGCACTGCACTGCAACGCCTGGTTGACATGCTCTGCTGTGCTGTGCCTACACTTTGAAGGCCTGAAGGCCCTGAAACTTGATGATGATGACGTACTCGGGCTGGCCGGTCGTGTGTGGACACACCACAGTGAAACCTGACACACACACACACACACGCACACGCGCCTCATTGGGGAATGAGTGTGCTGCCGGCTTGCCGCTGCGCATCGGACACACCTGCGTATCCTGGGAATCGTGACATAGTGTGCCTGCAGTCGATGAGGGCCCGCCTGAACTGCTGCTCCCATCCTGGTTTGACCACTCGCGAGATCACCTTGGTCACCAATCCCTCGTAAGCATCCTGCAGACAGACACACAAGGCAAACAAACACGACAACCAGTGACATGCTCCGCCTGCCCTGCTGTCTCCTGTATCTTCACCCCATGACTGCAGACAACGTCTTCTTACCTTTGACACGAAGTCCTCCTTCACTGTCAACTGCTGAAGGTCGCCGTCTTGGCTCTCTTTTGACTCGTTCTCGCCAGAGGTGTCATCGTGCGGTGTGGTGCTGCCAGTGGGTGCTATCTTCCGGCCTCCCAGCGCCGGAGAGCTCGGTTGAGTCGACTCCGACCTCACGTCGATTGGTTTCTTCGCAAGTGAAGCACCCATTCTTAGTCACCAGACTTCCGCTCGGCGATGCCTTCGACAACCACGCTTTTCCTTTCACCCTGCCCGACCTCTCACCAGCGAGCTTGAGCTCGCAAGAGTTTTGTCGCTTGGCGCTTTCGCTGGCGCCTTTTGGCGGGGTTTCACAGCGGCTGCCGTCGCCGGCTGTTCTGTTGATTGATTCACAGTATCAGTTATGTATTCGGACCGCCGTGAGTACTCGGACAGCCGTCGCAGGGATTTCCGTCGGCGTGAGCGTGAGCGAGAGTCGAGGGATCACCGGCCGCGGCACTCACACAGTCCGTCGCCGCGAACAGCGAGCCACCCGCACTCGCAGCCATGGGACATGGTTGAGCTGGGCAACCAGTTCTCGGCACAGCTGTCACAGCTGGTGAGCAACTCGAGGAAGCGCATCGAGGCTCTGACGGAGCTGGCGGCGCCCCTCAAGCCGTATGCACGCCAGGTTGTGGACCTCATCGAGAGGGAAATGCTCAACGTGAGGGAGGGAGGGAGGGAGATCGGTCAGACAGGCAGGCAGACAGACAGACAGACACATCCAGTGCTCGTAGGCAGATCTGTGGATGTGTGTGTGTGTGTGTGTGTGTGTGTGATCCACCCTGTCAGGCGTCGGGCGAGCGCAAGCTGACTTTGATGTACCTGATCGACAGCATCGTGCGCAACAACCCGGGCGAGTACGCCATGGTGTTCAGTCAGCACCTCCCCGCGCTGTTCGAGGCCGCATTTGTGACGGCCGATGCGAGCGGCCAGCAGTGCCTGATCCAGCTGCTCACCTACTGGGACACCCACTTCCCCCCACAAGTGCTCACGCGCCTCCATGCCATCGCCACGCGACACACAGGGGGCGGCGGAGAGGCGGCCGGACACAGCTCACCGAGATACTCCCCTGCCAACGCTGTACGTAGGGACACAACACAGAGCAGCGCTTCACCGAGAAATGGAATGCGTGCAGTGCACATGACATGTGGCTATATTGTATTGGGTGGCGGTTGTGTGTGAATGTGTCAGGTGCGCCACAGCCCGCCGGCCGCTGCCGCTGCCGCTGCAGCTGCAGCTGCATCATCGTCAGCGAGCAACCACCACCAGCCGGACGGCAATGGCGATGCAGCCGACGCCCTGACGCAGACACAAATGCTCCAAAGTAATACACACATCAGACGGAGGGAGGGCGCCCGCACGTGTGTGCGTGATTGTCTGTGTCGGGAGGGAGGGAGGGAAGTGCGCTGGGCTGGCGGTGGCGCGGCGCAAGTGAGTGTTTTGGCGTGAGTGGCGTCCTGGTCTCTCTAGAGAGAGTTTGGTCTGTCTGATCTAGAGGGAGGCCAGCTGTCTGGCTGGCTGTGGCTGCCTTGTAGTAGTCTGCCAATGCGGCAGATGAGACCAACAGAACAATCTGTGCGATTTGCGTGGTGAAATCTGTTTGGTCATTTGGGTGCCTGCTTGATGTGTTGAGTGATGAGTGGCTGGCTGGATGGCTGGCTATATGTCTGTCTGCTGGACTGACTGGCCGCCACCACAAGACCAAAAATTCGCCACGCCACCCATACCCCACCTCCCTCCCTCCCTCCCTCCCTCCCTCAATTCACATGTGTGCATGGTCGTGCTGCCCCGCCCTCCTCGCGCCCTCAATCACTCATTTCGTGTTCGTGTGCATTGTGTGTGTGGGTGTAGGTCTGCTTGAGGTGTGCTCACGCGACAGTGATGTGTCGCAGAAGGTGATTTTAACAGAACAGACACACAGAGAGAGACGACACTCTGTGATGTGTTGTGTTGTGTTGTGTTGTGTGGGGCCATCCATCCATCAGATGACGGAGGTCCTCCGTCTGCAGACGTCTGGTGAGGTGCAGAGGGCATCACAGCTGCTCAAAGCACTATACAGGTGGGTGCGGTGCAGTACAACGAGAGAGAGCCAACAAAGCATGGCATGGCATGTGATGTCCAACCAACCTTCCGCTGTCTGTCTCTTTCCGCAGGCAAGTGCACGGGGGCGGTGCAGGCGGTGCTGGTGCACCACCGTCCGACGCTGCGTCATCGGCCAACGCCAAAAGGCAATCAGGTGACTGACGAACCGACCAACACACCACACGCAGCGTAGATCAGATCGTCCTCCTTTCATAGTGCTGTCTTGCTTGTTGTGCCTCACTCAGTGAAGCGGCCCCATGAGTCCGTCGACAGTGGCAGTGGTCGCAGGAGCGACCCGTCAGGCCCTGCAGAGCCCAAGGCCAGGAGGCTCGCTGACCACAAGAGGCCCCCAGAGGCACCCGGCAGGCCGGGAGGCAGGGCGAGCATGCCGTCACCAACCCAGGGGAGGAGCACCAATGGAGGGCCAACACGGCCCAAGGCGCCACCGCCAGGCGTGTCGTCACGAGACCCTCGCATCAAAAGGTGAGTGAGTGACAACACCAGCGCCACCATGATAGATAGAGAGGCGATCACACGAATCACTTACCCCCTCGTGTTGGTCCCCTCTATCTCTCTTTGTTCAGCCGAGAGGCTGCGAGTCGCGGCAAGACCCCATCTCCCCCCGCCCTCCCACAGGTGCCCCGGCCCGTCGCCCGTCCATCCGTCCGTGTGCGGCCCCCCATCGAGGACGACGACGACCTCAGCCCCATCGACCTCGAGTCGCCACACGTCAAGGCTATGAGGAGGCAAAGCCCCACCAGCCAGCACCAGCATCAGCAGCAACAGCAGGAGCCACCCACCCACGCGAGGCGGCCCGAGCAGCAGCCGGCTGTGAGCAGGCCTGCTCCAGCAGCAGCAGCTGCAGCAGCTGGAGGTGTTGGTGAGAGTCGGGCCAGCCCTAGTCCTTCCCCTGCTGCTTCTGGGGAGAGGGTTAAGAGTGAGGAGGGGGGCGAGAGGGATTTGGATGAGCTCGAGAGGATCTCCGAGGAGAGCAACGAGGATGGGTGAGCCGACAGACGGAGGGAGAAAGACACAAGGAAGGGCAAGGAAGGGCGAAGTAAAGTCAGAGGTGTGTGGGTTGATGTGATGTCCTGTGTATGGTGGGTGCTTTGCTTGTGTGGTGTGGTGTGTACGCAGGCGTGGTCGTCGGAAAAGTGACCTCAATGGCGTGGGGCTCGAACCCATCGATGACGAAGAAGATGGTCAGTCAGTCAGTACTGACCGGGAGGGAGGGACTTCATAATTAATACCTACCGTGACTCCTTCACCTCCGTTGCATTGCCCCGTTTGTGTCTCTCCTCTGCCCATATCAGACAGCGGCACCGCCAGGTCACTGAAGGCCCGCCAGTACGCCCAGCCGTCTCGTTACGGCGTCGGGCAAGCCACGGCCCAGCCCCTCAGACAAACAACACCCGCTGCTGGACTAGGTAGGTACACACACGACACGATTTCAACCAGTCACTGGATACGCCAACGTCAAACCAAACCCAGCCCCGTTCCCTCTCCTCTCTTCCCCTCTCTGTATCAATCAGGTGCTTTGACGCCTTTTGGCGGGCCCGCCGGCCTCTCCCGTGGTCTCTCAGGCACCCTGCTCTATCAGTCGCCGTCCATCGCCGCCAAGGGCACGGGCGAGGAGATGGCGACGGAGGAGGCGGCCGTGACAGAGTGGCGGTGGAAGTGGCTGCGGCCGCCGCCCACCAACCTCACTGTGGGGGAGTTTCGCAACCTATGGGGCACCGTCAGCACCGTGGGCGGTCGGGAGAAGGCCGCTGCCGACATTATTGAGGGGGAGAGGCGCGAGCATGATCTGGAGAGGGACAAGGAGGGTGGTGGCGTGTTTAAGAACAAGGTGGTGCAGGGGGTCGGCTTGCAACAGGTGGGAGGGAGGGAGGGAGGGAGGGAGAGGAACCCGCCACACGGTCTCACATTCTTGAAACGTGTGTGTGTGTGTGTGTGTGTTGGTGCAGTTGGTAGTGGGTCCGCTGCAGTCTGACGAGGTGGCGCTGATCTTCGACGGGCTCTCGCGCCTGACCAGGAGGCTCAAGAGGCGACAGACCAGCGGCGCCGCACGGGCATCCGAACTCTCCTTCGACAAAATCAAACTGTAAGTAACCACGACACCTCACCTCACACAGCACAGCAGTCCCTTGCTCACCTCACGTGTCTGTTCCTGCCGGTGTGTAGTGACCTGGACATCGGCTTCCTGCAGCAGCTGCACGAGGGTCGGCCCCGTCAGTGCGCTCTGTGTGGCGTGCGCTTCCGCACCGCCGCGGCATACCAGCAGCACATACAAAATCACTTCGAGAGGGTCAGCCAGCACTACACACATGCAGTGCACACGCGTCTACTCACACACGCGTGCAGGCGTCAGATCGACATCACAGGACAATTTGCCCCTTGTGTGCCCTGCCTGTGTGCTGTTCAGAATGAGGCCAAGAGGCAGCGCAAGCGCATGCAGGAGGGCGGCCGACTTCTCTTCGCCGAGCTCACCGTAAGCCATCCGTCCCATTTGGCACCACACACAACCACCCTCCCAACTCTCCTCTCCACCTGTGTGTGTGTGAAAGGACTGGATGGGCGAGAGCAGCACGGTGGCCGGTTGCACTTTGATGCGTGTGTACAAGGACAAGTGCTACGAGGTTGAGGGCAAGCAGCCGCCGGCCCGCAGCAAGGAGGGCGCTGAGGGCGAGGGGGAGGCCATCGATGTGGTCGAGATGGAGGAGGACATCGAGGAGGAGGAGGCCGACACTGAGGAGGCCATGGCGTATAGGAGCGTCGTACCCGCTGACGCCAACAAGGTCTGTGGCCACTCACCTCACTCTTAGTCAGCATTTGGTGCGGAGGTCAACTGCTGTGTCTCTCTCTGTGTGAGTGTGTGCAGAGTATATGCTGCCTGTCTTCTGAGCCCTTCGAGCGGGCCTTCAGCGAGACGCTTCACGACTGGGTCTACCTCGGTATGGTGGACAGCACACACACACACACACACGCACACACACACACAGGCCCTCCTGACTGAGGGTGTCTTTGATCCATGGGATGTGTGCATCAATCAGATGCGATCGCCATCGACTTGGATACCTTTGAGGAGGTGGCCTTCGACCCCACCAGCGACCCACTGTCGGCCCCAAAGGACGATGCCGCACGGCCGAAACACGACGGCGACCAGGACGGCGGACACGACGACGATGAAGAAATGCCCGGTAAGCCAAGCCAACAAACGAAGGCAACACCCATGCACCACACGCACCCCTGCTCTCATGCTCGTGTGTGCTGTCGCTGCACAGACCCCTCGATGAGCCAGGAGGCTCGCCATCAGTGGCGGTCCCGTCAGCGCATCAACCAGCAGAAGCGCCGCGCCCGCCAGGAGCTGGAGCGGCACGTCGCCACCGACTCCGGTGGCTCCATCCTGCCCGCCTCCATCTGCCTCGTCCGCCACTCTTGCTGGAAGGCACTGTCACACCCGGCGCGGCAGCGTTTTCTAGAGGACATGACGCTTGTCGACGACCCGGCCGCCGACGAGACGGCTCCCCTGTCTGGGGCTGCTGCTGCGGGTGAGGATGAGGATGTGTGTGTGCAGGAGTTGCTGCAGCTGGGCCTGGTGCCGCTGGAGGGCATGATGGCGGCATTATCGGGTCATGGTGGTGACGAGCCGCAGCAAGAACATGGGCCGGAGGGAATGGGGGAGGGGCAGACTGCTGTGAGAGGGGAGGGGCAGGGGGAGGGGCAGGAGCATCAGCATGGGGGCGGGGGAGAGAGGGGAGGGAGGCGGCGGGCGGCAGCAGTCAGGAAGAAGCGATTCTGATGAATGACCCGATCGATTGATCGATCGATTGCTGTGCGTAAGTAAGATTGAGCCAGGACGAGTGGAGCTTGCGATGCGCTTTTAGACAGACAGACAGACAGACATGCCATGCCCCCCAACGATTGCTTAATTGTTCAATTCACCGACCAACCAGTGGCGATGAAATGAATGAAGCCAGCATAGCATGCAGGCCAGGCAGCCAGCCGTATGTGTGTATTTGTGTGTGAGACAAGACAGACACAGCCGCTTATCTTATTGATTGGCTAATGCAATGTGTGTGGCAATACCCACCCCACATCCCCTCCCTCAGTACCTACCTACCAAGTGAATGCGTGACAGACGAACGGACACTTTCAACCATGAAGAACTCTCGATTGAATGAATGCTCACTGAAGTACTTTCATCAAGTCAATCGATCGACAAGAGAAGGTGCCGTGTGGCCACACACCCATCCATCCATCCATCAGGCGGGCTCTCCGCACCACGGAGGCCATGCACATGCCATTAATGCACTGCGTAGCATGGGCCTACCTAGGACGAGCCACAAATCACATGTGGATAAAGCTAGTCATGTCAGTCATCAACACACAAGCACAACGGGTACAACACATACACGCAATCAATGTCTGGACACACCTACCTCACGGCACCCTTTTCCTTTCAGGACGCCACATACCCTCGCTCATTACATACCACGACGGACACCCACACACAGGCACACAGAGGGCGCGGCGCACGCCCTTCCCCTCACACGCAGAAGGGAGGGATCAGTCGCCGGAAGGATCAACAGGCTGCGGACAAATACACGCACACACACACACATCCATCCACCCGTCCATCCATTCATCCAATCATCCAATCATTGTGTCCATGCGTAGTGTGTGCTCACCCCGACGAAGTCCACGAGGAACTTTCGCCACACGGCCCAGCCTCCCACATCGCCGAAGAGGCTGCCTTTGGGTTTCTTGAGCTCGAATCCCTCCTGGCGCACCATCTCAGCATCGACGTCGAAGTCCTTCTCCACCTCATCCCTGACCTTCTCGAACCGGGGCGGCGGGCACGAAAACCCGGTGACCGACCAGCCATAAATGGCCTCGCCCCAGCTGCACACACACAGACAGACAGACAGACAGACAGACAGACGGAGAGGGGATTTATTGACTGCCGCCCGCTGCTCTTACGTCTGACAGATCCTTACAGGCGGAATGGAATAGCATTGCCCCACTCGGCGACGATATCTGGCTTCTCGACGGCGAACATGAGGCATTTGCTGGCCACGTCGAGAAATTCGCCCCAATCCCATGTGGCAGTGGGGGCCGCGCCGCTGGTCGACGATGACGATGCCGATGCCGAGGACGATGAGGATTGAGAGGACCGGAACTCCACAGGGAGGTGTTTGACGTCAACCTGTGGTACGCGGGCACACGCATAGGTGCGTCCGTCGTTGGGTGTTGGAAGGAAGGATGCTGTGTTTCTTACTTACAGCCGCTTTGCAGAATATGAGGAAGTCCTCACAGATGTCCATTCTCTCTCCTCCACTGTACAAACCGCGGGTCTCGCCCTGCACACACCATGGACACACACATACCCACCCACCCACCCACACACACACCCCGCCCTCTCCATGTCCCTCCCTCCCCCTCGTCCGTCCGTCCCCTGCTCACGTACGTACCGTCAAGACGAGCTCATCCTCGACGCGCATGCGGTAGACATCCACCACCCACTGGTAGGCACGGGCAGGCTTGAGCTCATACGGACCGCTGAAGCCCATCTTGGCCCCCGCCTGCACGTCGATCGGCAGGCTGCCGAACGGCGCACTCGCAAACTCACCACCGATGCCGCCGGCCTTGAACGCTGCTATCAGATTCTCAAGTTTGTCGCCATCCACTCCGCCCTGACTGTTGAAGACGCCCTCTAACTTGACGGCAGGGGCACTCGTGGCAGGAGCACTCGTGACAGGGGCAGCAGCTGGTGCAGGCGTCTTCTTGGCAGCAAACTGGCGCGTGCATGCTTGTTTATGGCCGCCGCTCCAGTCCTTTCTCTGGCATGCTTTGTCACAGTAGAAGCGTGACTGCAGACAGCAGCACCAACCAGACATACAGGCAAGCATATAGTACAGTGGTCGCGCAGCGGTGCGTACCTTGCACAAGGAACACCGCTGCTGCGTCACCTTGCCACACACGCTGCACGGACCTGATGTATCCATCCTTTACGCCGATTGCTCCTTTCGGCACAGGGCACTCTACGGGCGCTTCACGAGGTCCAGAAAGATAGGCAGACGTTTCCCTGACACATTGCGACAGTCCGGTGCTGGAATGCGGGGAGGGAAGGGTTGGAAGACGTAAATAGGGTTAAGGTTAAGGGTTAGGGTTAAGGGTTTAGGGTTAAAGCTTAGGGCCGAAAGAGGGAGATCGGCACGACGCCCTGAGTGTTTTCGAGGCTGCTGCTGCTGCTCACTCTTACCCCTTCACCCACCAGAATGAACAGATCCACCCCATTTGTATCCCAATCTTCCCAACAGGCTGCATCCGACGCTCACGCCAGGCGCAGCTCCCGGCGGCAGGTGCGGCAGCGGCTCCGCCTGCCATCATATTGTATGTGGATCTCATTGATTCTCGGCCTCTGGGTCAAACCGGCTGCTGCCTTCCGCTCGCTGCTGAGGACGGCTCCCTCGCTTCCAAGGCACCCTGGGACATGGAGCAGGCGCACCCCACCATCATCCCTCTCCCCCGGCCTCCAGCTCCACATCCCTGTTCACCATCATCCCACCTCCCTCTCTGCGGCCTCGGCGACTGAGGCAGAGGCGAAGCGAGAGAAGAGGGCGCCGCCGTCCTTCATCAACGGCCCGTTGCGTCGGGCGGCCATGAAGCTGCACACGAGGGACCAGGCCAAGGAGGGAGAGCAGCCCGCCCAGACGCCCTTCACCAAATGGGCGCCCGGCCTGGCCGACTTCATGCAGTTCCTGGTCGACTCCAAGCATGTCTTTGAGACGCTGGAGCGGTGCGTGAATGAGACGGCTGAGCTGAAAGCCTTGCGTGGGAGTGGACTGGAGAGGACGGCGGCGCTGGACAGGGACGTCAGGTATCTGCTGGAGCTGGATCCGTCGCTGAGTGTGCCGCCGGTGGGCCAACCCGGCAGGGCATATGCCGAGGTGAGTAAATGAGGGAGGGCTGCATTTAATGGGGGAGGGAGGGAGGGATGGACACAACACACGCCTAGGCGGTGAGGTGAGCCAGTATATATCATTGGTGCTGCTATGTTATTGTGTGTGCAGCTGTTGCTGTCCAAGTTGGATGAGGGCATCCCTGTCTTCATGAATCACTACTACAACACCTACTTCGCCCACTCGGCCGGCGGCCGCATGATCGGCAGACGCATGTGCGACACGCTACTCGGCGGACACCTGCTACACTTCTACAGATGGGAACAACCAGACACACACACCGCGACAGAGAACCACCACCACCATGAACAAGGCCATCATGCCAGCGGCTCTGGGTCTGGCGATCGGTCTGTGATAGAGGGGCTGTTGGCTGGTGTGAGGGAGAAGATCGACCGCATGGCCCTCAGCTGGACGGAGGAGGAGAAGCAAAAGTGCATCGATGAGACGCCAAACGCTTTCAGGTGACTGACTGACGCTCAGTGACAGACAGACAGACAGACAGACAGAAGTCATGCGGAGGGAGGGAGGGAGTTTGCATGTTTGTTAGTTACAGTGTGTGTTGGTGTCCTGTCTGTTGTGGTGTACACCACATGTATCAGGTACGGTGGCGGGCTGCTGAGCCACCTAGCCAAGCCGCCCAAGGAGAGCGCTGGGGAGGCAGTCTAGTCTCCACGACTCATTTATAGACACCGCAGACAGACATACACACACGCATAAATACATGAATGAGCTTCATTCCTTCATTTGTGCCGACCGGCGTGACTGACGTCCATAGTCAGTCGTGTGTGTCATTCATACAGCCATCCATCATATCCCAGCCGTGAGTGAGTGAATATGAGAGCTTGAAGAGAGCAGAGAGTTTGTCGATATACAGGCAGTCGAGCCAGTGAGTGGTTTAAAGGCGTGCGTGCGTGCGAGAGGGCCAGGCAGCTTCGCAGTGAGTGCGTGTGAGTGAGTGAGTGAGTCCGTGAGTGCGGGTGTGGGCATGACATCCATCTGTCGCTGCCTGCGTGGGTGCGGGCCTACCTACATTCGGGCATCCCTGGCAGGCAGACAGCAATCGGTTATGACCAGCCAGTCATCTTGGCGTGATGGTTTGTCAGTCTGGAGGTCAGCGATGCGGTGCACATGTGGGGACATGAACCGGCCGATGCGACAACGATGCATTCATCGATGTCTTGTGTTGGATGTCGTGTGATTGATGATGGATGTGGTGGCCGTTCCGGGCCGCCCCAATGCGGGGCGGGTAGTGTGTTTGTCACTTTGTTTCTGTCTTTCTGGCTATCGCTCCTACCTAGCATTTCCTTCCGATTTTTCCTGAAAGCCATCCAGTCCGATGAGTGAGGACGGCGCTCTTCACATCTATCTATCTACTTCGTGTCTGTCTGTGCATAATGCGATCAATGCATGTCTAGTGTGCGTGTGGGCCAGCTGTTGAACTAGTTAACTAACACGCACAGCGCTCTGTGTGGGACGACCGACCGGCCGGACGATTGAACTATGGGCGAATGGATGGATTGACGGTGAGTCCATCAGTCAGCGAAGGGAAATTAGGTTACAAAATGTCCCACGCAGCTAGCCAGCCAGCCAGCCAGCCAGCCGTCGGCCGGTCGAGCATCAAGCACACATAACATACATGCCAACACGTACGTTAGTTATTAGTAGTCGCACGCACCATGAATGCACTTATTCCATGCACTCCACGCAGCGCAGCCACCGATTCATCCGGCCGGCCATGTAAGTAATGTAGCATCTTGCTTACCTTACCCCCTCACTGGCCCAAACCCATCAACACATCCAAGTCATCCATCCATCCATCCATCAAAGCCATAGACACATGGCCAGGCCAGCAGGCAGCAGCAGCTCCACGCATCGCATCTCCTCTAGTAGGTGCGTGCAGTCGACCGACCAATATGATATGTGGGTGTGTGTAAATGAGTATGGATGTGCCCGCCTGTCTGCCTGCCTGCCCACTGGCCCGCCCGCCTCCCTCGCTTTGCTGCCTCGGTGTGCGGCATTCCGATCCGATCGGCCAGCCAGTAAGAGAAAGACAGACAGACTTATCATCGGTAGGTAATTGTGCGGAATATCATATGAGTCTGTCTGTCTGTCTGTCTGTGTGGGGCTATTTATTCATGTGCGCACAGATAGACAGACAGATCAATGAGAGATTGATGATCATATCGTATCCGTCTGTCTGTCTGTCGAGGGACAGGACAGAAGCAGCCAACCCCACCCAGCCCACCCCAGCCACCCACCCGATATAGCAACCCGTTCATGACATTGAGGGGCCTGCGATGCGATATGACTGATGATCGATGATGTTATTTGGTGTATATCCATCCCAAGGCAAGGCCTTACTAGGTACTGTACTATAGACTTACCCACACACACACACACACACACAGACGCGCACTCACCCATGGCATGCACATGGCATGGGCACACAAACGGACTCACCCACACTCGGCCGAGAAGGTAGAGAGTGAGCAGAGCACGGAGCGGAGGGCATAAAGCAAGCAACAAGCACAGCCCCGAAAGAACGAATGAACCAACCACACACACACACACACACATAAATGGACTTACTTATCATCGACGAGGGCACGCCACTCCACCCACTCATGTAATGGATGGATGGATGGATGCGTGTGTGTGTGTTCGGGTGCTCAGCTTATGTGTCGGTGGGGTGACGTGACTTAGGGCCACAAAAGGACTGACATCACGCACCATATATACCGTCCATATGGACACCAGACACAAGACCACTTACAAAGACACACACACACCAGCCACGCCATTCTCATAGACAGCACAGACTGCACCCATCAACCGGCCCCACCAGAAACGGAGACAGGATACACACCGACCTCCCGCCCGCCCACCTGCCTCCCACCTGCCTGTCGTCTGTCTGTCTGTCTGTGTCAGGGTGATGCACTGACTTGAGAAAAGACCTGCGTGTGTGCACCGCATCCACAGTGGGCCCCAAAAAAAGGAAGAAACAACGCGTATGCAGAGCGTATGCAGGCAGGCGACCAGGTGGGTACAGGTGTGCAGGTGAGCAGGCGACTGACTAGGTGGGCAACATGACATGATACGCTAGGCTAGCGAAGAAAGAATGTGAAAAACAGCAACCCTTCCCATCCACTCATCCGCCCACCGATATCACCACACACACACGCACACGCGCACCAACTAGCAGCAGGCAGCGCGAGAGCAGTAAACCGGTTCGCAGGAATGCATGAATGAATGGATGGACGAGTGTTGACAGGGAGGCTAGGCTGGTAGAGAGGAGAGACCATGAAATGTATGGATGGATGGATGGAAGTACGTATGTATGTATGTATGTACACAGGGGAAACAACGAACCAACACCATACGAATGAATATCGTGCACATGCAAACTTCACGACTTACAGAGACAGACAAGACGGCCGGCCCGGCAGCTAGAAGCTAGAGAGAGATATAGACAGCCCAGCCAGGCGGACAGGCAGACAGCCAGGCGGACAAGCAGACAGGCAGGCAGACAGGCATGCACACATTCATACATGCGTCAGTCACGTAGGTACACAAACGGACGGAGAGGAGTGAGGGAGTGAGGGAGGGGAGGGGTGGGGGATGGCATGCACGCACACACACCTCGCCGTGGCGCCAAAATCCTCTGCTTTGCCTCTCCTTCCTCCTTTTCCTCCCTACCTGCCAGCCAGCCACCAGTCAATAAGCAACAAGTCGTGTCATTCAGAGAGCGATAGACAGACAGACAGACAGACAGGTCACTAGTGTGTGTCTGGGCCCGGCCAGCTGGCCACAAGACACCGCCACCCGGCCCCCCACCCACACAACCCCCCTCCCTCTGTCGTCTCGGAAGCCGTGTGGCCAGAAACAAACAACCATTGCTGCCTGGCTGTTCACTCATTCCCATGGGTTGGCTCGAGGCAAAAATTTGTCTCAGCGCCTTGCTCGCTCGCCCCTCGCCACCGTGTGGTCCGTGTGATGTCATGCCTCTGCCCCCCTCCATACAGAATGCACCTGCCTGCCTGCCCTCCGTCGCTGATTCATTACATCAGTGTGTGTGGGTGTGCAGAAGTGTGTGAGCGTGTCTGTCTGTCTGTCTGTATGTAAGTATGTAAGTATGTCTGGTATGGAGTGCACAAATTGATAGATATGTGGATGGAATGGATGCAGCTTAGAAGTCAGTCAAAGTGCGTGGGGTGCGTGGGTGCATGCGTGGGTGGGTGGGTGCGAGTGGAGAGCCGAGAAGAGCCAGGGAGAGGAGAGCCTCACTCACTGAGACAGACAGAGACGGAGAGACGGGATGGGATGGAAACACACCAACACGGATAGGATAGGACACACACACACAAACAGGTATACAAACACTCATATGCAATGCAACCCAACCACCCCACCCTGTCCTTCCCCTTCCTCACCTCCCCCATGTCATGTCATGTCATGCGTGTTAGCCATGCGCCGATTCACTCACGTACTAAGCACAACACCGATCCATCACATCAGGCGAGTAACTCAGCTCAGACCTTACGGCCCTGTTGTTTGCCTGCCTGCCTGCCTGCCTGCCGGCTGCGGCAATCACAAAAACAACACTAGTCAAAATCCACTTTTACATCTCCACCGTCTCTCCCTCCCTCCCTCCCTCCCTCCCCCCTGTCCCCCTGTCGTTCCGTTGGCCGTGTGGACAATCAATCGTGAGAGTGTGTGTGTGGACACATTCATTCATCCAGGCGGACTGACTGACGAAATGGTATGGTGTGTGTAGGTGTGTAGGTTAGGTAGTAGTAATTACTCGAGTGAGTGAGTGATGTGATGCCCCCGTCTCTCGTCCATCACATCAATCATATCATATCATCATGACAGTCGCACCGCACAGACCGACAACCGCGTGTGAGCAAGCAATCGCGTGGCGTGGCGTGACAGGCAGGCAGGCAGGCGAACAAACCAATCTCGATAAATAAGGCAGACAGGCAGGCAGGCAGACAATCAGTCAACAAGACAGCCGAACGGGCAGGCAAGCGGACAGACAAGCAAGTGCGTAAGAGTGTGCGTGTGTGTGTGCGTCTCATCAGAATACGAGTGGCGGCAGCTCAGCAGGAGGTGTGGCTGTGGTCTTGACGAGACGCGCGAGGCGAAATGCCTTCCGGTACATCGCCTGATCGATCGGCCGACCCACCCCACCCATCACATGAAGACACACGCAGGGTGAGCAAAGGAGACATGACGAAATTCGCTCATCAGTCAGTGGCGAGGGACGTACGTACCTTGAGGTGCACGATCCTGTAGTGCGGAAAGTCGGGATCGTTCTCGATGTCCAGCCCCGGCACGGCACACCGACGAATGCGATTCACAAACCGCTCAAACCTAAAACACCCAAGACACACACACACGACACTCACTGTCTCTGTCTCTTCCAGCCGTTCACTCCCCCCTCCCTCCCTCCTCCCGCTTATTTACTTACTGTGCCGATTTCCTCCTGAGGTCGTCTTTCATGTCTGACAGCCACTCCGGATCCACATCCATCACAGACGTCCCAGACGACAGACTGAAGCCGGAACTGCGCGAGGGGCTGGAGACCGGCAGCCTGCTGGTGGCAGCGGTGGTGGTGGCGGCGTGGGGTGTGGCGGCCGCTGCGGCCGCACGGGCGTCCGAGAGGCGCTGGTGTGCACTGGGCGGCCCCCTGAGGATCTTCCACACCGCGGTCACGTAGTTGCGCACCAGGGCTGTGTTGACGAACCTGACAGACAGACAGACAAAGCATAACACGCAAGCCAAGCGTCAGTTAGATGATGCGATTGACAAGAAATTGTCTGTTTGCTTGTTGAGATGTGCTGTACGTGCGGCGTTCCTCAGGGCTCTCAGCGGTCTTGAACTTCATCTCGCCTCCCTCGAGGAAGGCGTCGACGTCCTCGCCCCTCTCCTCCCTCTCCACCATCTCGGCCAGGTCGAGGTCAAACACCTGCTCGGCCGCCAGCGCTAAGGAGCACGCCTGCAGCATCTCATTGACGCCGTCCTCCAGATGGTCCAGCAGCGCCGTCAGCTTGATCAGCAGCACCGCCACCATCGCCTTGATCTTGCACCCACACAGACACGAGCATGACCTCTCCGGCGATGGCGTGACGTCCTCGGGGTCTTCCCCGTCCTCCGCTCTCCTCCCCTTGCCCACCCCACATTCGCATGGGCAGGAGCAGTCGACGGGCGGCAGGTCGACCATCCCATCGGCCCCCGCACACGACGACGCCGACTCGTCGCCGTCATCGTTCCACCTGCGTCTGTCCTTCGCCTTGCCCTCGGGAAAGAAGCTCAGCCCAAAGACAGTCGGGCAGCAGTCGAGCGAAGGGGACTCCTGCGGCCCTTCGGACATGTGCAGCCGCACCGTCGTCCGGAAGCTCTTCTGCCGGCTGGTGGGGGTGGAGGTGGGCCGGCCGGGACCCTCCGCGATGCTCACGGCCACCGAGGTCGACACGATCCGCAAAAGGCCTTGGGTGGTGGTTGGGGGCTTGATGATGCGCAGCTGGAGCAGCCTGCGAGCGGGGTAGGGGCAGGGAGGGGCGTCGGGGGAGAGAGAGGGGGACGGAGGGGGGACGGGAGAGATGGTCACCTCGCTGCACTCCCTTGTGCGGCCGATGGGCAGGGTCAGCCGTGGTCCGAACGATGCAGATGTGGTGGATGGCAGCCACGCCTCGGCCGTCGAGATGGCCTCGCCGGCCAGATCGATGTCGAACTCCAGCATGGTGCTGTAGCTGTCCTTGCTGCCGCGGGAGAGGGCCCTGACCATCTGGTGGTGGCCCTTGGCCTCGCTCGCCTCGTACACCTCCACGTGAGCCGACGACGGGTCGCCCTCGCCATCGGAGATGACGACGAGGAACACGAGGGTCTCGGGGACCTCCTCGGTGCCCTCCACTGCGGCCTCCTTGAAGTAGGCGGATGTGGCCAGCACCCCGTCGACCGCCTGTGCCACCACCCCCTGGATCTCGCCATCGATGTCGTCATCGAGAGTGGATGGGAAGTCCCACGCCCGGCTGGAGTTGGACCGCTCTGCGTCCGAGTCGCCGTCGTCCTCCTGGTCTGTCGCCCCGATGCGTGTGCTATCGTCGCCCGTGGCCGTCTTGCCCGACACGCTCCCCGCCGGCGTGTCCTTGGAGCATGGCGGCTGCAGGGTGGTTAAAGAGTTGGAGCTCAGCGATGACTGCCGGGGTAGGGGTTGGGGGTGGGAGCCCGGCAGACGTCCTGTGGCCTCGCCCCCGTCGCTCTCTTCCTCCCCAGCCTTGAGGTATGCGTCGAGGTCCATGGTGTGTGGCGGTTTCTGGACGTCGATCGTCATCTCGAGCGACTTCTGGGGGGCGGAGGAGGGGTCGCTCGACTGCGGGGACAGGTTGTCGGGGCCGTACGAGGCGCGCGCCTTCATCGTCCGGTCGCCGTCAGCGATGCACCGGAAGCGGTTGCCTCGCTGCATCGTCTCCCGCACATAGCTTGCCATCTTGTCGTGGCGCGCAAACACATCCGTCAGGGAGAAGCGGGGAATCGGCGAAGGGGCGTGATGATCACCTTCAGGCCTGATCGCGCTCCCCGCCCTGGCCGGCAGGAAGCTGAGCATGGTGCTCGCGGCTGTCGACGTCGATGTGTCCACTGGCGTGTGGAGCAGCTCCCCAAGACGCTGCAAGTTGCGCTCGAGGCCTTGATAGTCTATTCCTCCCTCAACCCTCTGCACATAATTCCCCTCCGCAAGCTCACTGGAAACACACACACACACGCCCACACACAGACGATCCAATCCGGCAAGTGCGTACCCCACATAGGTCTGAGCTATGGCAGGCGCGCGCACCGACCGTTCGAGGGCGTCATGAAGGGGCGGCAGGATGGGGTCGAGTGATGGTGAGGCTGTCTTGATGTGACTCGGCTCCGGCTCCGGCGACAAGGGCGAGTGGGCCCGGTCTGCCGGGCTGTAATCTTGCATCCTCCGGTTGGTTGTGCGGCTGTTGACGCCAGAGAACGTGTGGCCTCTGCGGAAGAGCGGCATTGCGGGCCTCCCGCCGCCAGATCTCTGCCCCTCGACTCCTCCAGAGCGATGCAGACCTAGCCCTGAGACCTCTGCGCCACCGCAAGCATCACACAGGTAACGGCCGATCGTTTTTCAGCTCGCGCGGTGCTTGCGTAGTTCGACAACAGAGGAACATTCTGTGACAGGTGTAAGAGTCAAGATCGTCAAGATTTTCAATATCTTCAGAAGAAGCGTCGCTTCCCGGTTTCCTTTTCTCTCTCCATCTTCCCTCCCTGCTGAGATGCTCAGCACCTTGCGGCATCCAGCAGGCCGTGCATGCTGCGCCACCAATGCTGTTCGACCACGGCCCGTCCGGCCCAGCCCTCGCTCAGATTTCTTTCCCCTCTCGCTCTCGTCCAGGCAACCGACGGCAACCGCACCTGCACCTGCCATACTCCCCTCAGCCACATGCTTCGCGCGCCACACGAGGTCATGGCACCAATACGGTGGATGCGGCAGCACCCACCGCGGCTTTGGCAGTGCAGCAGCGGCAGCGACCCACCGTGGGAGGGAGGAGGGAGCACCACTGGAGGACAACGACATCCATGAGCACATCGGTCGTGACCTGCTGTCCTACCGGCAGGCGTACGACCGCATCGTCATCACCGACAGCCTGGAGCGCATCGTGGACGACTTCAACAAGGTGACCATGACGGGTGGGCAGATCGTCCACCGCATGCTGCGCAACAAGGGCGTCGAGTACGTCTTCGGCTACTCGGGGGGCGCCGTGCTGCCGCTGGTGGACTGCTTCTACGACGAGAAGATCAAGTTCTTCCTCCAGTGCAACGAGCAGTGCACGGGCCACAGTGCGGCGGCGGTGGGCAAGTCGACGGGCAAGCCGGGTGTGGTGGTGGTGACGTCGGGGCCGGGACTGACCAACCTCATCACACCCCTGCAGGACGCACTCATGGATGGGGTCCCCATGGTCGTCCTCTCCGGACAGGTAGGGAGGGCACCTGTGGACACACACATCTATGGGCAGACAGAGAGACAGACGTGCAGTGCAGAGTGGTGGACGTGTGTGTCTGTGTGTGTGCGAAGGTACCGACGACGGCGATGGGCACGGATGCATTTCAGGAGTGTCCGGCAACGGCCCTGACGAAGCCCTGCACCAAGTGGAACTTCCTGGCGCAGGACATCGAGTCGCTGCCATGGGCACTCGAACACGCATTCAAAACGGCTATGTCCGGACGGTATGTCAATCAGCTCAAAAAGATGGATACACTTCACTCCACCCCTTCGTGCAATGCAATCGCCCAACGTTGTGTGGTGTGGTGTGTGTGTGGCTGGTCTGCCTCTCTGTCGTTGGTGCGGTGCAGCAAGGGTCCGGTTCATGTGGATCTGCCCAAGAATGTGTCGGCCGGTACGGCGCAAATACCGATCTCCCTCATCGCACCCAGGATGGGACAGGTGAGTCAGGTCAGAGAGCACAGCACACATACATACACGCAAAGCGCCGCTGGCTGTGTGAGTGAGTGATTGTGTCCGGCCATGCCATGTCTGTCTGTGTTGTGTTGTGATGTGGCACGTTACATTAGAATGACCTGGCCTACAATCTGGCAGAGCGCGAGAACGCCAAGCTCAAGGTGGAGCCCGAGAAGATGCAAAGAGTGGCTGACCTCATCGCACGGTATGCCATGGCAGCCAGTCCCGGAGGGAGGCCACAGACGCGATACACGACATGGGTACACCCCGCGCATGACATGTCCGTCGATGTGTTGTGTGGTCAGTGCGGAGCGTCCGGTGATGTATGTGGGCCACGGTGCGTCAGAGGCGTGGAGGGAGGTCAGAGAGCTTGCCATCAAGGTCAGTAATATATATTACCCTCCCTCCCTCCTTGCCAGCCAGCCTGACAGACAGACAGAAGCCCACACGGACGTCTGTCTCTCTGTGCCTCTCTGCCTGTCTGATTGTCTGTCTGTCTGTCTGTCTCCCTTGGTGCGGTGCAGTGTGACATTCCGACGACCACGACAGTTCACGGGATGGGAATCTTCGACGAGCTGCACCCGCTGTCTCTGCACATGCTGGGCATGCACGGCTCTGCCTACGCCAACTACGCCATACAGAACGCTGACCTCATCCTCGCAATCGGAAGCAGATTCGGTCAGCCAGACACACATCCCAACAACCGTCATACAGACAGACAGATCCTGACAGACAACAGAACAGTCTCTCTCTCCCGTGTGTTGTGTGTTGTGTGTTGGTGTGGATGGATCATATGATGTGGATTGGATCAGACGATCGCACCACCGGTGTGATAAGCAAGTATGCGCCCAGGGCTCGTGCGGCAGCTGTTAAGGGCGAGGGCGGCATCGTGCACATCGATATCGAGGCACGGCAGTTCGGCAAGTGTGTCGAGCCGAACCTTGCCATCCACTCAGACTGCAGAAACGGTGTGTGAGATGGGAGACAGAGAGGGAGAGGCAGGAGGCACGCATTTCTGTCGCTGATTCGTTGTGCCGTGACTCACGTGTGTATCTCCTTCCGTCATTCCGTCATTCAGCGTTGCTTCAGCTGTTGCCCCTGGTGTCTGAGCAGACGAGGTCCGAATGGGTCGCACAGGTACTGCAGCATGGCAGCATGGCGTCTCTCTCTCTCTCTCTCTCTGTCTCTCTCTTCACCACGTCTCCCTGGCTGTCCTGTCTCTCATGACCAGATCCAGAAGTGGAAGCAGAAGTTCCCCTTCTCATGGATTCCGGCCCCCGAAGGACGCATCAAGACACAAGACGTACGTAAACTATCTAACAACGTACACTAACAAACACACTCACTGCTGAAGCGAGAGCGGTAGACGCTCTGCCCCCGTGTGTGTCCTCCACACACACAGGTGTGTGACGGCATCTACCGCGCGACTCGGAAGCCCGACGTGGTGCCTGAGGGCAAGGACGTCATCTACTGCACGGGTGTGGGCAACCACCAGATGATGACCGCCCAGTTCATCCGGTGGCGGCGGCCGCGGCAAATGATCACTTCGGGCGGGCTGGGCACCATGGGCTCGGGACTGCCCTTCTCTATCGGCGCACAGGTGCGGTGTGCTGCGCTTCACCGCCACCACCAGCACTCACATATCGGACACCGCAGCCCACTCGTGTCTCTGTGTGTGTGTGTGTGTGGCCGTGCGGTGCGGCTGTGTGTGTCATTCAGGTGTCTCATCCCGACAGTTTGGTGATCCTGATCGATGGTGACGGCTCCTTCAACATGACCCACGTCGACCTGGCCAGCGTGAGGCGGTATAACCTGCCCATCAAGATAGCCATCATGAATGACGGAAAGTACGCAACGCACGACAACGCATCCCATTCCGACCATATGAACGGACCATCCATCGCATGTGCTGCGTGTGTGTGTGTGTGTGTATGTTGTGTCGTTGGCTTGGCTGGTCTGGTTGATGCGGTGCAGGCAGCAGATGGTGGCAGTGTGGCAGAAGCTCTTCTTCAATGGCCGCATGCTGGCCACCGACAACACAAACCCTGACTATGTCATGGTGCGCAGCGCAGCGCACTGCACTGCAGCGGCCGACATACACACACAGCAAATCAATCAATGTACACACGTGTGTATCTGTGTGTCGGTTGGTTTGTGCAGCTGGCGAACTCTCACGGCGTTCCTGCCGTGCGGTGCAGCCACGTGAGCGATCTCGACAAGACCATCGCAGAGTGGCTCAGCACCGAAGGGCCCTGCCTCGCAGACTTCAGGCACCATACGCACACACATCACGTACCTTGTTCATGGACGGATCCGTTTGTGTCTCTGCTCTGTGTGTGTGTGTGTGCCCAGGGTTGTGCCCGACATCTGTCTGCCGATGGTTCAGCCGGGGCGGGCACTGGACGAGATGCTGCTCAACCCGGAACAGCTCGAAAACGCCAAAATGGAGGGGCTGGCGCCATCATGATGGATAGACAGATGGGTCACGGGTGGGTGGGGTGGCTAGACAGACAGACGGCGGTGTGTTGATGATTTGATTTGATTTGTGCGATCGACGGATGGCACGGCACAGATGAAGGAATGAATGCAACGCAGGGCGGCCGGCCATGTGATGGTGAAAGCTATGCGTCGACATGGCCGCCGGCCCTTTTGCGGCTTGATCAAAGGATGAATGGAGTTTGATTGATTGCGTGGTGTCTGTGATCGATGTGTGATCTCTATATCGATGTGTTGTATGTGTATGTGGGATGGATGGCTACATCTGCATAGCTTGTGTGTTTATACGGACGGCCACATGGTGGAGTGGAGTGTGTGTGTGAGGGCAGCGGTAGCCTACGGTAGGTAGCCAAGCTTGACTCATGCGGACGGACGGCTTGATGCGATACGATGTATGCATTGCATTGACCTATGTGTCGTCTGTGTCTGTGTCACCTGATCTCTAAACATTTTTCATTTTAATTAACCCGCCCCGTCATCGCCCCATCTGCCTTGCGAGCCGAAGACGGTCCCAAGAAAAAGATCGCCATCTCATCATTCTTTCTTTCGCCTTCCCTTCGATTCAAAATCGTTGTTCTTGAAAGCCCTTCGCACCCTGCGTACTGCCATTCGTTTCCATCGCCTTCGGCCTCGGCGCGACTTCATCGCTGATGGACTCTCACAGCCAACGGCCTCCAGAACCGGAAGGTAAGGAGGCCCCCTCGTCTGCCAACTTCTTCATATGGGGGGTAGCACCCTGGACGCCTTCCAAGGTCATCAGCCGGCCATTCCTGACGGAGAAGATAGCGGGCGACATCAAGGATGTGGCCATTGGGGCCTCATGGATGGTCGCTCTTCTCGAGAACGGGGAGCTGTGGTCCTGGGGTGAGGACAGCAATGGATGCCTCGGACTGGTGGGCAATGAACCCATACACCATACATACACACTGGCATGCACTCGTTCCTGCCTTTCTCCTCTCTGGGGGTGTGTTAAGGGCCAGGACCGCACGTCAGCGCCGGAGCCCGCGCAGATTCATTTGGAAACTCACAGCTTGGCGCTTCCCACCGCCGCGTCGCGTGTCAGTTTCGTTGACACGTCGCCATCCGCCAGACCGTCGCACGCCTCTATCCGCAAGGCCAGCACTGCCACAACCGGTGCAGTGAGGATGCCCGACACAGTGGTTGGTCTGGTGGGTGGGGGGGACTTCGTGCTGGCGTGGACGGCGCGCGGCTGTCTGTATGGGTGGGGATCAAACGCCGACGGACAATTGGGCGTCGGGGATTTCAGCAATCGCTTCCAACCGGCACGAGTGGACGCCCTCGAGGACGATGCTGTCTCCCAGGTGCTTGTCGCCCACGGCCATTCTGTGTTCGCTTTATCTGAAAGGGGGAGTGTCTTCGCTTGGGGCAACAACTCAAAAAGAGAGCTGGGGCTGGACACAGGAAAGAAGAAGACCCAGGGCCACAGCCACAGCCAGGAGCCGATTCAACCGACCGCAGCAGCTAGAGCGGCCGCCACACATGTGCAGACGAGGGTGGCCAGGCCTGAGCCCCTCGTGAGCCTGCGGCCATACAAGATCAGCCGCATCGAGAGTAAGAATGGTACGCTGCTCGCCCACATCGACCACGGCAGCAAGAAGCGAGCGGCCATGGGCGTGCATCAAGCAGCAGAAGGTGCGCTGAGCGAGGCCCTCTCTCTCAAGACACCCTCACCCGACACCAAACCAGAGCCCCAACATGCCCGCCTGCCTGTCGAAGAGGTTGAGCTGCTGCAGGGGGTGGATTTCCTGCGCAAGGTCTTTGAGCAGATGGCGTCGTGGTGGGAACAGCTGCTGCGGCTGCGGCACGGCGAGCCCGACCCCTCGTCGATGGACACAAATGCGGACCTCCACCACCGCGCAAATAGGGAGCTGCCGGCACACGAGATGGATCAGAACGTTGAGGAGAGTGCGCTGCTGCACGCACTTGACAGCCTGGGAGGGCTGCACAGGGCGGCCGTGGCACAGCTCAAGGAGGCACAGGGCGCTCCCAGGGCTAAGAACATCCGGCTTCTGCTGACTATCTTCATTGACGACTGCCGGCTCCGCACGGTGGGTTTGTCGTCTTGTGTTGCAGACAGCATGGCACGAAGCCCTCCCTTTTCTTTTCCATGCTCTCTCCCCTTGTTGGTTGTGTGTTGGGTCAGGAGAAGGTCCAACGCACATTGGGCGCCCGGCGGCTGACGGACCTCAAGCGAACCGTCGAGAAGATCCCCGGCGAGCAGGTGCACGAGTTCGGCAACAAGACTGCATCTGACATCAAGAAGCTCCTTGCCAGCAGCAGCCAGGCGGAGGCGATCCTGCAGCGAGTGCGCAGCGCTGATGTGTCCGACCTGCTGTGCAGAGAGCTGCAGCTGTCTCTCGCACAGACAATGGAGGCCCGTGTGCAGCTCTATGAGACACAGATCCAGCTGCTGCAGCACCTGCAGAACACCGCTCTCCATGGCCTCAGCGACGCGCCTTCGGCCAGCGACCCCACTTTGCCTGCCCTTTGTGTGGTGGCCGAGAGGTGGCGCCATCTCAAGAGCTTCTCATTGGCCAAGCTGTGTGCCGAGTGCGAGAGACACGCACACGAGTACGGGGACAAGGAGGAGTTTCTGCAGTGGCTGGTCAAGGCGTCGGATCAGAAGATCGACCAGCTGCTGCTCATGCAGAAGGACCCACCTGCCGTCATGCAGGACTGCCTGCTGCCGACACTGTGCTACGATCTTTTGCACGAGAACGCTGAGCTGCGCAAGATGGCCAACGCCTACCAGCTGCGGGTGTTCATCCTCCACAAGAGGGCACAGGCTCATCATATTCATGGTGGGGGTGGTTTGGGAGGCACCATGGGCACACTGGGGCTGAGCAAGAGTGGCGGTGTGTCAGGGATGGGTGTGTCTGGGGGCTCTATGTCGGCTGGGATGAGCAGGGCGCCTGTGCCCCCGCTGCCGCTGAGCAGGAAGCATTGAGTAAATGAGAGACGCGGGGAGGTTTGTAGAGGTTGGGTATCACACATACACAGTGTTGGGGGGATGCACCTCCAGAGAGACAGACACGGTGTGCACTGCACGGAGTGCCTACGTGTAGCTAGTTTATTCTCACTGTGCTCTCTGTGGGATGTGAGTGCGTCCATGCGCTGATTGGTGGATGGATGGATGGATGGACGTACTGGTGACCTTTCCTGCCATTTCATGACCCATTTAGATTTCGATGTCAGCAGTCAGTCAGTCCATGTGGACAAGGCGCACACACATTCTCGCGTCTCTGTCTGTCTTTGCCCGTCATATATGTCGGCGCACCGCACCGTGGCGTTCGTTCACCTTGACGGGTGCAGCTGTAGCATTCGAGTGGGTGGGCATTATAACACACAATCACGTGGCATTATAACACACACTCACATGACATACTACAGCAGACACACGCCAGGCGAGCACCATGCCATGCACGCCACGCACAACCTGACTGACAGATTCCTCCACTCCGTGTGTCGGTGCAAGCGCAGCGACAGCCACGCCACGCGCATCGCATCGATTGTCCGCTCATCTCATTCACTGACTGTTTGCAAGTACGTACGTAAGCATGTATGTATGTATGTATGGGTTTCACTGTGCAGCAACAGCCTCGCTGTGAGCTGCCTGGGCCAGAGAGTGAATGAGAGAGTGAGTGAGCAAAAGAGAGAGAGGGGCGAGTCCAGTGCACACACGCACCGCACCCGCTCTTCCTTCATTCGTCAGGCCTTCAATAGTCAGTCGATCAGGCGATCGACGCATTGCATTCCATCCCTCCCCTCCCCTCCTCTCCCCTCCACATGAACACATGGAAACGAAAGGAGAAAAAATGGGGATTGTCGATACGATGCACACACTCATGGATGGATGGATGGAGCCCTCTCTCTCTCTCTCTCTCTCACACACACACACACACACACACACAGGCAATAGAAACCAAGGAAGGCAAGGCAATCCAATCGGTGAGAACAAAATCAGTCAGGGGTAGTAGCTAGGCTAGGCTAGGCAGGCCGACAGACAAGGGGAGGTGGAAGGAAAATAACTCACAAAACTGGGCAGTGAGTGAGTGACGATACACACATAAGGACGGACATCTGCAAGTGGGGTGGGTAGGAGGGGAGGAGAGGAACCGCTTAGCGTTAGTCGACAAGAAAAGCAAGCACGCGGGAGGCACACACACACACACAGTGCATCCATCAATCAGGCCACCCACGATCGTGTCGTGGTGCATCGCATCGGTGTGGGTCGCATCGCATCGCATGTAGGTAGGGATGGGCTGATGAAAACAAACTCTCTGTTTATTGCGTCAGTCATCTGTGCAATCAATGCACGCAGGCAGACCGGCATCTCTCTCTCTTTTGCGCATGCATGGACGGCGCAGCACACGACACCTCTCTCGCTCTTTCTTTGTCTCAGCCTACCGCTACACACACCGCACCGCACAAACACTCAGACACATGGTCGACTGACACACAGACAGTAAGTAACATGAAGAGGCCAAGCCCCAAAGCGGCTGGCCTGACCCACATACACATTATATTGCATGTATGTGTATACGTATGTGTGTGTGTGTGTGTGCGATCGCCCGCATTCAGACAGCCGGCGAGTGAGTCCGTCCATCCATCCATCCATCCATCCCAGCACCTCAGAACCCCACCCTCTAATTCTACACATCACCATCGCGTCTCACACATATATAGTCAGCCCTTTCTTCAAAGCATGTAGTCAGTCAGTAAGCAAAATGCAGCCCGCCCGCCCCCGTCCCTCGCGCCTGCGCCTGTCATGACTGACAGTCTTCAGTTAGGCCTTTTTGCTCTCCAACGACTTTGACACACCGTACAGGAGTGTGCCGCCGACGGCGATGGCCGATCCGAGTGCGCCGAGTGGTGTGAATTTGGTACCGAAGACGATGACGGACGCCAGGATGAGGGCCACGCGCTTGAAGGTGTTGGCCACGGCGTGACTCACAGTGTTCAAACGAGACAGAGACAGGAAGGCCACCTGAACAAGACAGATAAGACACACGTGCGGCAATGTGTAAGTGTGTGTGCAGCCACCCATGGGTTGGTTTGGTTCTCACCTCGTTGTAGAGGTAGTACCAGAATCCCGATCCGACGACGTGTCGGATGATCTGCTTGCCGGTGATGCCGTTGGCGAGTGCGTTGTTCCACACGGGCACGATCGACTTCATGTCGAACAGCGCCAGAGGCACCAGGAACATGGTCGCGAAGATCGTCAGGATGGCGTACATGTTGCTGGGCGTCAGGTTCTCGCCAAGCTTGTCCTTGTCGCCCATCGCCTTCTTGCTGTAGATACCTGCACTCACACAACAAACAGAAGCACCGGTGAGTGACACACATACTGACTGACTGGCTGTAGTTGCTGGTCTGGTCTACTGGTGAACCGTGTCCGTGTCTGTCTGTCGGCGGACCTCTGAGCGATGACCCGACGTTGGAGACCATGGCACCGATGAAGGCCCTCCAGGTGAAAGAGAGCTCCTTGAGCGACGCGAGCGACACGCCAAAGATGATGGGGACCAGGCTGAGGTAGGTTAGGGGCGAGAGGTAGTTCTGCAGCACCACCGCAGAGAGCACCGAGGTCGTCACGGGCTCGGCCGCCTTGACGATGTGGACGAACGAGATGGCGCCGGCGCCCAGTGCGATGACGGCCGAGATGTGGACGGATGCGTGGAAGAGGCCCTGGATTGCGAGCTGCTTGACGCCCTCGGAGTTGTAGATCTTGGGCTTGGGTCGGATGCCGGTGAGCCAGGGGAGCATGAAGATGGGGATGCCCACGAGCATCTGGAGGGCTGACACCGTCAGCGGCAGGGGGTACAGGTTCAGCGCCCTCTTGTTGTCCACATTGTACAGCACGTTGAACGCATACCTGATAGATACATACACACACACACATGGATGGATGGACGGATGGATGGATGTCTCCCCTGGTACCACCAGCATAGCATGTGTGTGCCTCACTGCCTGACTGACTGACTCACCAGAGGAAGAGGAAGAAGAAGGTCTTGGCGGTCTCGACCATGTCACTCCCGGTGTCCCCGTTGACCTCCTTCTTGAGGGTGCTCAGCGACTTCTGGTACCCCTGCTTCTCCAGAAACGCCATGACCTTGTCCAGGTCAAGGTCGAGCGTGCTTGTCGCCATCGACGTGGTCGTCGCCTCGGTCGTGGCCACCGACTCTAGCGCCGTCATGCCCTCGGGGAAGAGCCGGCCATTCCTCGCCCGCCCGAATCGCTGCGCTGATGGGACGGGCTGCGAGAATGGGGAGGCCACGAAGCCCTCACCGGACGCCATGAGGGAGGCGAATGCGTCGGCGGCATCGTCCAGGTCCGACAGGAAGGCGTCCGTTGCGTCGTCCCGTGCAGTGGTGTCGGCCTCTTCCTGGAGATCCTGCCTTTCCAGCAGCGGCGCCAGCTGGTTGAGGCCTCGTGTGGCGCGGATCTTGTATGCCACACTGCTGGCATACCCGCAGCTCACCAGGCATGCGAGGCATAGCGCAATGACGCTCCTCATCATCATACTGGTCGGGGTGGGCAGATGAGATGGTGAGTGGAGGAGGGCGGGCTGCTCAGGAAGGAGGGGGGAGGAGCAGGGGTGGTAGAGGCGGTACTTCAACTTTGAGCTCGCACCAGTGGGATCGTTTCGTTTTTCGAAGGCGCTGACGGGCAGCCCACCCATCGCCATTCTGCAACGTGTTTGTAGCTTAGCTCTCTGCTGCTGGTGATCTGATTGAGCGCTCACCACATGGCCGGGAAAAAACAAATGGCCGGTGGGGGGAAGGAGTCGTGGAGGCTACCTTTGCCGTGCGTTGAGACGTTCTCCAAGCTCTTTTTCACAAAGAATCCGCCAGGTAAGATCAGAAAACACATACGGGATGCCTCCCTCACTGTGCTTGCACTGGGTGGTGTGGCTGCAGCGGAGGAGCAGATTATTCTACTGCCGGAACCTGCTCCCGCCGCCAACACGGCCCATCCCGCACCACCGCCATCATCATCAGCAGCAGCGCCAGCATCAGCAGCACCAGCAGCAGCAGCAGCAGGAGCATCGACCTCCAGCTCATCGGTGGCCGCATGTGGCCCTGCGGTGATCCTACCAGACCGGCAGGCTGACGGTAGGGGGAGTGGGCAGCGTCAGTATGCACCCCACGGGTTCTTCACCAATGCGTGGACGAGTCAGCCAGAGCAGCTGACGCTAGAGTTGGTAGAGACCGTTGACAACCAGCCCGTTACGCAGCCGCCGTACACCACCTACACACATCCACACACGGAGAAGCGCCTCACATGCTGTCCATCTGTCTGTGTGCCCACCCACCCCCCCACAGAATCTATGCCATAGACAACTTCCTACGAGAGGAGGTCAGTGCAGTGCAACCTTATCCCAAACCAGCCATGGGACCCTCCAGAGAGAGCAGGTCTGCCCTTCTGCTCGTGCGGGTATGTGTGTGCAGGAGTTGGCGCACTTGGCCTTGTTTATTGAGTTGAAGGAGCAGCAGTCCGGCGGGTTTAGGAGGAGCCTCACGGAGGACGACAGGGGCGTCCCAGAGGAGATGCGCGAGCGAAGCTCGTCCAGCGTCAGGATACCCAAGGCCGCCACCCACCTCGTTAGAAACATCGAAAGGTGAGGCTGCCATCAGCCAGTGAGGGGAGGGAGGAGGGGAGGGAAACACGGCACCACCTGGCCTCTCGTGTGTGTGTGTGTGTGTGTGTGCAGACGTGCTGCTGCTTGCTTCGGCCTGCCCGCAAGCCACGTCGAGCCGCTTCAGATCGTGCGCTACCAACGGGGCGAGGTAACCTAAGAGTGTGGCCACAGTGATACACGAATTACATCGAGGCCGTCCATCCATCCATCCATCCATCCATCATTGCAGGAGTATCGTGTCCATCACGACATGGTGGAGCTGCACAAGAAGGGCCGCGGGTGGGGTGGCGTGTACCTCGACAGCCCGTCGGACGAGGAAAAGGCCAAGGGGGTCCGCGTGGGGACGATACTAGTGGTGAGGCAGGAGAGGAACCTTGTGTTGGTGGATGCATAGTATTCATGGTGTGGTGTGGTGTGTTGTGTGATGTGCTGCCTGCAGTATCTGCACAGCCTGGATAACGGCGTGGGGGGCTGTACGCATTTCCCCTTGCCCCAAGGCGGACTGGATTTCACGCCTGTGCGGGGCCTGGCTATCATGTGGAGCAACATCAAGGACGCCGACCTCACACCAGGTGGGCGGGGCGGGGTGGGTGAGTGACGAAGGAAGCAGCAAAGACAGGCAGGCAGCACACACTCGAGTGACACGACAGACAGAGGGAGATATCATTCTCTGTCTGTCGCTTGTTCAGACCTTCGGACGGCGCACGAGGGGAAGAAGATACTCCGCAGTGGCTGCAAGTACGGACAGACGAATGGGATGGGGGCACACAGAACAGACGCACACAATTAGACGCACCGCACCGCACAGGCAGGCAAGTTGGTTCTCTCGACGTGCGTGTGCGTATGTGTGTGGCAGTAAGTACGCCCTCAACATTTGGGTCAGCAACGTCCCCGATACGAGCAAGCCCAACGCACTACAGAGGAAGGCCACGCAGCTCCACAACCTCCTCGGCAAAGTACCCTACCCCTCCACAGAGTGAGAGAGAGATGGAATGGCACCAATCAAACCGACACGACACGGCAGAAAGTCGGGACACACACGTGCACGTGATGATCATGATCGCTTCCCTCCCTCCCTCAGGCCTCTGCATCTTGCGAAGGCCCACACTCTGCCCCCCCTGCGCAGAGACGCGAAGGGCACGCCACTGGAGGACCCCTGTCCTGGCAACGAGCCCATATGTGTGCTGTGCGGTCGGGGCGACGAGTGGGACGTCAACCAGCCCGGCATCCTCCTCGCCAACACGGATGCATCGGATGGGGCGGCGAGGGCTGTCGAGCCATCGAGGGCGCGAGAGCCGCACGAGAACAGGCTGATCATCTGCTGTAGCGCCATGTGTCGGCGGGCCGTGCACGACTTTCCGTGTCTGGCCAACTATCGGAAGCGGATTGCGGCCTCGGCCAGCAGTAGCAGCGCCAGTCGATCGCACACCGCCCAGGGTAGGAACAAAAGGCAGACAGCGGCACAAGACGAAGCATTCGGTCCCTCCCTCTGATCTGTCTGTCTGTCTGTTTCTGGGTTGGGTTTGTTTGTTTCTGCAGCCCCATGGCTCTGTTTCGAGTGTGAGGACGACGCGGATCGTCGTGTGCCCAGTGACGACCACGGCGATGCCCCCGGGCAGCAGCCGCGGCAACGGCGGATGAAGAGGACCCGGGACTCGCCCAGCGATGAGCCGGCGCGAAACCTCACCCGGCGTCAGCAGAGACTCGCCGAAAGGCCGAGGATGGAGGAGCTGGGACCCATCATGCCGCCGTCGCCCCTACGTGCGCCAACGCAGGCCGGCACCCCTCCAGTAACCCCAGAGCACAGCCCTCGGCAAGGTGGAGAGCCACCGGCAGCAGCAGCAGCAGCAGCTGGTAGTGGGGGGGGTGGGGATAGGTGGCGACTGGTGCCCAAGAAACCGACGAGGGCAGACCTGCGTCGGTTGTTCCCGTCTGTGTTTGAGCCAGGGGTGGACGTGGGCACCCAGGCTGACCTGGGCAGCGATGGCGACTTCCGCAGCTGCCGTGAGGACCAGTCAGTCGCCGACGAGGGTCAGCATATTGAGACCGACCTGACGGAGATGAAGGACGCGTAGATCCATGGCATGTATATAGGACACGGCAACTACATATTCGTGTAGCTTCGTGTCCGGGCAAGTCTTGTGGGTGCTGCCTGCAATGGTGGTCACCCCGTGTGTGTGCGTGCGCTTTGGACAGTCAGTATATGATGGGATGTACATTAATTAGAGGCTGAGAGACTCATGTCATGTGAGCGCTGGTTGACTGGTTGATGCATCTATCCATCCATCCATTCATTCATTCATCCAAGACCCTGCCTACGTCTTGTCCGTTCGTGTGTTGTTGTGTACATATTCATTTGACCTCCTTTCGTTTCCTTTCATTTCCACACGCTACGCTGCTTGATTGACATCTCCAATCGTCAGTCACGAGGAGGGACCACAAAAACACACAAGGTCGGTCGCATAGATAGACATATGCATTGCATTCGGGCACACACGGCACACACAGCACAGCTGATTGATCTGATGGATGGATGAACCATCCATCCATCCATCCACATCACATACTCGACAGTCCGCATAGCCTGCTCTCCTCGCTGTACAAAACTTGGCACACCTCGGCAGCCCGAGGTGTGTCAGGTGGGCACTCTAGTTGGGTGGCACCCAACGCCCAAACCCTCGCCCGAATCAACAGAGGCCCTCACTCCCTCCTTGCCGGCTGCTGCTGCATTCGCAGAGTGGTTGGCTGTGCGCTTCGCGCAGGCTGATCGCAGTCAGTGGCGTCCTCTCATGAGTCGGACTTCTGTTTGTTGACGTTGAGCACCGCCATGAACGCTTCCTGGGGCACCTCAACAGACCCAATGTTCTTCATACGCTTCTTGCCCTGCATCACATCACATCACACACACACACACAGACACGAGCAAGGCAAGGCGGACAGCGCGTGTGGTGTGGCCAGAAGTGCGTTTGATGCGTGCTGGTCTTGGTGTACCCACCTTCGCTTGTTTCTGTAGGAGTTTTTTCTTTCTCGTGACGTCGCCGCCGTAGCACTTGGCGAGCACATCCTTCCTGATGGCGGGGATGTGACTCGACGCCACTGGCTTGCTGCCTGCAGGCATGACACACATGACACACACAGGGGCGACTGATGGATGGTTCGTGCTTTGCTTTATGTGTTTCGTGTGTGTGGTTAGGTTACCCCACACCACAGCCGCTTAGCTTACCGATGCAGGCCTGTATGGGGACCTTGAACTGCTGCCGGGGGATGAGCTCCTTCAGGGCCTCGGTCAGCTTCTTGCCGTGGGGGTGGGCGTTGTCCTTGTGCACCACACACGCCAGCGGCGGCGCGTCCTCGCCGTTGATGCGCACCGCCAGCTTGACAAGGGGGTTCACCCGGTAGCCCGTCACACTGTATTCCATAGACGCATACCTGACACACACAGACGCCCGACACTATGATATGGATGGATGGCGGGCGCCCCCCACCGCACCCTTTGGTTCGTGATTTGAGCATGTCGAAGAAGTCGGTGATGACTTCAGCGAGGGGGAGGTCGTAGACTATGGTGGTGCGGGTGGGCGACAGGTACTTCTGCTCCACCAGCTCGCCGCGCCGCGACTGGCACAGATCCATCACACCACCGACAAACCTGACGTACACACGGGACAGACAGACAGACAGACATCCGCACACACTACCATGCCGCCATCTTCGTCCGTTGTCCGTACTCGCTCGGCACAAGGATTTCCATCCTGCAGTACGGCTCAAGCGTCTCGGCGATGTCCTGCGTCTCCTCCGGCCACTTGGCAGGGTTGTCCACCATCAGCTCGCGGCCGTCCTTCATCTTGACCATGAAGTTGACCGAAGGCGCCGTCACCACCAGGTCGAGCCCGTACTCCCTCTCCAGCCTCTCTTGCACGATGTCCATGTGCAGCAAGCCGAGAAAGCCGCACCGAAAGCCAAAACCCATGGCAATGGAGTTCTCGGGCTCGAACTGGAGGGCCGCGTCGTTGAGCTTGAGCTTGCTGAGGGCGTCCTTGAGGTCGTTGTACTGGTCAGTCGATGTGGGAAAAAGTCCGCAGTAGACCATGGGGTTGGCCTCCGAGTAGCCGGGCAGCCGCTCGACCTGGTCCTTCTTGAAGGCAGAGGTGAGCGTGATGGTGTCGCCGACTCGTGCGTCCTCGACGGACTTGATGGAGGCTGACAGCCAGCCAACCTCCCCGGCGCGCAGGACGTCCACCTCCCTCTGTGAGGGCGACATGACGCCCACCTGGTAGACCTCGAAGTCCTTGCCCGTCGCCATGAACGTGATGCGGTCGCCCTTGCGAACCTCACCGTCAACCACCTACACACACATACCGGTTCACATCATTTCCGTCGACGCGATGCAATGCATCCCTGTCTGTCTGCCTGCCTGTCTGCCTGCCTGTCTGTCTGTCTGTCTGTGTGGCTTAGTTACCCTGAAGAAGACGACAACCCCTCGGTATGTGTCGTAGTAGGAGTCGAATATGAGGGCTTTGAGCGGTCCGCCCGTGGGAGGTGTGGGCGGGGGCACCTTGTGCACGACTGCCTCGAGGATCTCCTCGATGCCGATGCCCTTCTTGGCGGACGCCTGGATCGCGTCAGAGCAATCCAAACCTGCACAATGATATCATAGGCATGCATTGGCAGCAAACAAACTCTCCGTCATATATTTCAGGCTTCTTGTACTGTGCAGTGCAGTGCTGCTCGCTCACCGATGGTTGTCTCGATCTCGTCGAGGACGCGATCCGGGTCAGCAGCCTGACGCGACACATCACATCAACAACCAAGACACCATCCATCCATCCATCCACTCCCCTCGCCCGCAAGGCCTCTCCTCTCTGTCGAATGCTCTTCCTTACCGGCATGTCGATTTTATTGAGCACAGGTATGACCTCCAAATCGTTGTCGATAGCCAGGTACACGTTGGCCAGTGTCTGCGCCTGCACACCCTGGCTGGCGTCAACCACCAGCAGGGCCCCCTCGCAGGCCGCCAGGGACCGTGACACCTCGTACGAGAAGTCGACATGGCCTGCGGGCAGCCGCGAAACACAGAGAGAGGTCATACAGACGGTGTCTGTCTTGGAGTGAGCGTCTCCTCTTCGCGGCCTCTTTGTAAGGCAGACATACACACCATACCTGGCGTGTCGATGAGGTTGAGGATGTAGGTCTTGCCATCCTTGGCGGCGTAACGCATCCGTGCTGCCTGATGACGGAAGACCACACACACACACACACACATGCACACACACATGTGAGGGTGAGAAGGAGGGCTGGCGATGGGGAGGGTGGGGGGGGTGGGGGGGCGACCTGCAGTTTGATGGTTATTCCCCTTTCCCTCTCCAGGTCCATGCTGTCGAGAAACTGAGCCTGCATGTCCCGAGACTCAACTGACACACACACACACACACACATACGAGGCAGCATCACATCCACACCACCCACCCCCCGGCCGTCGAACGGACCTGCTTTGGTCATTTCGAGCATTCTGTCAGCCAGTGTGGATTTGCCGTGGTCGATGTGGGCGATGATGCAGAAGTTGCGGATCAGAGAGGGGTCGTAGTCAGACCTGGGGGAGGGCATTTGCCTGCCCGCGGGGGACGACACACGGGGTGGTGCACTCTGCACTGCAGGGGTGTGTGCATCTGCTGCTTTGGGGGGCGGTGCTGCTGGGGGGTCTGCTGTCACAGACGGGGCCGGCCGCTCTGCGAACAGCACCAGAGGGAGGGACAACAAGCACAATAATCCGTCGGTGAAGGAGATAGCATTCGTTGTGTTGTGCGCCCACCTTGTGTGGCGGATGACATATGCGCTGCAGGTCGCCGCCTCTGGTGCCGCATAGCAGCCGGTGCAGCTCGCCTCGGCCACCTCATCACGCCAGGCCGCACGAAGGCTTCGCTGCCACTCGCGAGTGTCGAAAGAATGGATCCACCTGCAGACATACAGCAGAGGCATAAAACATTCATTCGCAGCCAACACAAAGGAAGGCCAATGACATCAATGACGAGCAATCAGGCGTGTGTGCACTGTACTGCCGAGATGACTCACTTGGTAGATGCGCTGCATCAGAACAGAGCCAGTGAAAGAAGCAGCCGATTGACAGAGTGGTCCACAGGGAGTGCCATCTTCGAAATGGCCTCCAGCAGGTCCTGTTGCCTCGGTGTGAAGCAGCCTCCCGCCTCAGATCTGAGCGTGTTGATGCGCTGCTCGCCGGATCTGGCGCACAAGAGGCAGATTCGGCAATGCAGGGCTCCATTCTTTGCATCCTTTTCGCAACCTTAGGGGAGCCAGTCTTTTTGCGAGCCCGAGTCTGAGCTTGCGTGAGGCGAAAGTGAGCTCTCCTGTAAGGTAAGCGGTGTGTAGCAGAGGGTCCGAAGCAGCAGTGTATTGGCAGCATTTCTCTCATTGTGTGTGAATGCAGGCTCCTGACACAATGATCTCGATGGAGGCCCCCTCAGGCTCTTATCGTCTGATCCACAGCCCCTCTGGCCGTGTCGGCTCTCCCAGTGGCGTGCCGTTTAGCCTGCTGCCGGGATCTGTGATTCAACTCATCCCTCAGTTCCTGACTCTCAGCTCAGCAGTGCTTCGCTTCCGTCGCGTCGACAAGCACACCCTCTCTCAGCTGAGCCTCGCTGTCGTCATCCCCCTCCTGACGCGCCTGCTTGCCCTCCTGGTGCCGTCTTTGCCTTTTGGGGCGCATGTCATGGTAACCTTTCCTCAGCTGCCCCTTCGACTGGAGTCCGTGGGCGATGGAGATGGGATGAGCTGCCATCTATCGGTGCTGTTTGAGCAGCTGACCCGACGGCTATTCTTTCTTGAGAGGGGCGGCGACTGGGGGAGATGGAAGCCGCACGTGGAGATGCTCTCGGTGATGGTGGTAGGGCAGCCCATCGCCCTGGACGAGGTCAACTTCAGCGGATTCGGCCAGTGTGCTGACTATCTCGGCAAAAATGAGGCAGTGCGGCAATGGCTGATCCTGAGTCGTCTAATCGCTTTCCTGTCAATCTCCCACCCTCAGCTCCCCACCATGCTGATGGACGGCAATCGTATCCGCCCAGTCCCCCTCCGCCACACCCTCTCGCTGCCGGACATGCTGCCAGCAGATCCTCTGTTCGGCAGAGGCCAGTATGATGCGGCCAATCCCCCCACAGTGCTGGACGACGACCGGTCCATCACCTACCGGAGCTACTCGTGCATGGTGGCCTTTGTGCTGTTCAAGTATCTGTGGGCGGCGGGTGTCCTCCGCTGTGCCAAGTCCTGGCTGTCGACCCGCCTGATGTCCCTCTCGTCACGGCGCGCAAGGCACCTCATGGCTGCGAGTGGGGTGGGGCAGCTGCGGCACTGTGCTGCTGTTTGCGACCGCAAGGGCGAGTACGGCTCTCACGAGCGGCTGATCGTCCTGGGCGGCGAGCAGCTGGGCGCGACGGGACAGCTGGCCTTCCTGACAATGAGGGACACGGGGGTGAGCTACCTGATCAGTGTCCTGACGACGGAGTCGCCGCCTTTCGACCGCACACGGGTGGCGGTGATGCGGGTGGTGGGCGAGCACTTCACGCTGGCATGCAAGCTGTGGCTGGAGGAGAAAGAGGAGGAACCTGCGATGAAGCTGCCGAGCTCTGCGGGCATTGCTTGGATGGTATTTGGGGGCCTGAGGGTACACAGACACAGGACTGGGAATCGACGATGGGGCGTGTAGAATAGAAGGGAAGGAAGACTTAGTGGTGGTGGTGGTGCTGCTGCTGCTCGTGGTCGTGGTTGACTGTCTCATGGCGTGGCTCGGCTCCCTTTTGTCTCCCGTTTTGTGGTCATTTTGCCGATGTGCAAATGCGTGTGAGTGGGAAGGATGCAATTAATCGACATTTGTTGATCAGTCAAAAGTTGGAGTGATTCTTGATTGTTCCGCCCTCTCGCTCTCCTTTTCCTTACCCCCTGTGTGCATGCTTCGTGCGTGTGCATGCTGCCTGTTTGGTGTGTGCAACGAAAGGTGGGCGCCGGGCTTAGGGACAGGCGTCTCGTCAAACCCATAACCGCGCCCCGCGAGCTTCGTCGGAGAGTGCAAGGAGGCAGCAGAGTGTAGGCGAGCACACAGTGATTCTCTCTTGCGATGGATCTGCGGCCACCGATAGATGAGAAACAAAGAAGACGATGCTCATCGGTGCTGCCGCTGATCTGCATATCTATCAGTCAGCTTCTCCCTCTCTCCACCTGCAGCACCGACTCGATGGCAGTTCATGAGCAGCAGTCGGCGTCACGGCCACGGCCACGGCGGCATCAGCCGCCTGCATTCTTCAACCTGCTGCAGCCTTCTGCAAGGCCCGGGGTGAGTGAGCCCTTGAGAGAGACTCATAGATCTCGTTGACTTTGGATGCATTCGTGTCTGTGTCTCTGTGTGTGTGTGTGTGTGTGTGTGTGTGTGCAGATAAAGAGGAGCCTGCAGACCTACTCAGTGGAGGACTCGCGGAAGAACAGATATAGGTTCCAGGTGCACACCAAGATAGCCGACATCAAGAAGGGTAAGGGAGGGAGGACATAAAAGGAGGCAGGCCATGCGGGCTGGGCTGGGCCGGCGGGGCGCCAGGGCCTGCCTCACTGCTGGCGTGTGCTGTGTGTGACTGTCGTGACAATATGTATGTACAGAGGTATGGGACAGGTGTGTGTCCGAGACGGACAGCCCGTTCGTCGAGTATGACTGGCTCTACTCACTGGAAGAGTCCAACTGTGCATGCGAAGGCACAGGTAAGCCGTCAAGTCAGATAAGGGCAGGAAGGAGAAGGGCAGGGCAGACAAGGCGGGCGATGCTGCCTGCTCGCGTGTCTATCTCTCTGTCAGGTTGGGCGCCGTTTCACCTGACTGTCCACGAGGAGGAGGCACCCGATGATGACATCCTCGCCGTCGTGCCCCTTTACATCAAAACGGTCAGTGAGTGAGAGGGGACAGCCCTTCGGCCAGCTGTGGCGTTTCTGTTGTGTGTGTGTGTGTGTGGCAATGCAATGCAGCACTCGAACGGTGAGTACATCTTCGACCATTCATGGGCGGACTTCAGCTACTCCAACGGAATCCCCTACTTCCCCAAGCTGCTCTGTGCCGTCCCATTCACCCCGGCAGGCGGGGCGCGCATACTCATAAGGCCCTCATACACGGACGAGAGAAACTTCCTCAGGTTTTTAACTAAGACACACACGAGGAATGACTGAATGCATCAATCAATTGTCGTGTTGTTTGTGTCATCTCATCCATTATCTTAATGAATGAATGGTCAGGAGGATCATAGCGTCGTTCATGCGCAAGTTGGCAGAGGACTCCAACATATCCTCTGTGCACGTCAACTTCTGCACTCAAGAAGAGGTCGGCGGAGCGGAAGGACACACACAACCAACTATCGACCCATCCATCCATCCATCTGTGTGTCGTGCATGGCCGGCCATGTGTGTGGGCGTGGCGTGCGTCATTCCATGTGATGCCATGTGATGTGTGTGGTGTATAGGGTGAGTCTCTGGAGGCGGTGGGTTACATGCCTCGCAAGAGCACGCAGTTCCACTGGCGGAACTACAACAAGGACACCGGCCAGAGATACACCAGCTTCGACGAATACCTCAGCATGTTCAAGGTGAGTTGGGTGCGGTGTGGTGCACCACACACACACACACAGAGAGAGAGCGCGATGCCACAATCCACCCATCCATCCATCCACCCACACTGGTGGGGTGGGTGTGCGTGTGGTGCCACCAGGGCAAGAGGCGGGGAGCCATCAAGCGTGAGAGGCGAGCCGTCTACGAAAAAGAGGGGTGCGAGCTGGTCGTACTCAGAGGTAGGTACACAGAGGTCCAGTCCAGTCCACCTCACACACACACACACGCCACCAACCGCCATGCCATGCCATGCGTGTGCTGTGCGTGCCTCTGTGCCCTTTGCAGGTGACGACATAACCCCGGCTTTGTACAGGACGGCCTTCGAGCTCTACAAGACCACCATCGATAAGCTCATCTGGGGCAGGCAGTACCTCTCAGTGCGATTCTTTGAGCTGCTTCAAGAGACGGGGTGGGGGAGGCGGAACCTGTGTCTGATCCTGGCCAAGAAGGACGGCCGCATCGTCGCCGGCACCATCAATGTCGTGAAGGCAGGGCACTTCTACGGGCGGTACTGGGGGGCCTTTGAGGTGAGGGAGGGGGCAGATGGGATGGATGAGCGGGGGCTGGATCAGCCTGACACACACAAGTATGGATGTGTGTGTGTGTGTGTGTGTGTGGCCTCTGTGTGAGTAGTTTGTGAAGAATCTTCACTTCGAGACGTGTTATTACAAGTCTGTCGAGTACTGCATACAAGAAGGTCGGTTGGTTGGTCGGTCAGCAAGCCCGCCCGCCATGCACGCACATCCCATACCATCATCCATCCCTCCATCCCTCCCTGCGCCTGTGTCTGTGTGGTGTGAACTTGATATACCTTACAGGTATTGATGCGATGCAGCCAGGCGCTGGAGGGGGCGACTTCAAATTCATGAGGGGCTACGACCCCGCCATCTGCCACTCATCGCACTTCATCGTCAGACCTGAACTAAGACGAGGTCAGTATGCAAGCCACAACACACCATCAACACGCACAAGAGCACAGAGACACTCACTCTGTGCTGTCGACTCGACTCGACTCGACTGGACTCGACTTGACTGTACAGCGATACGTGCGTTCCTTGAGATGGAGCGTGACAGGGTGCAGATGGTGGCAGACGAGCTCAACGAGAAGACCAAGGTGAGGGGGGCCGACCGGTCACAGACCGCCGCACAGGCGGCCGTCACAGACGACCAGGAGGAAGAGCGAGACGGCTATGAGAAAAAGGGCAGCGAGGCGGGCAGGGAGGGGAGGGAGGGGAGGAGAGAAGAGACATAGGAGAGAAAGGACATGACGTGAGGTGACGTGTTGATGTGGGTGGGGTGCCGAAGCAATGGTATGATGTGGTGTGGTGTAGAATAGGCACGTTGGTCACTCACTGGTCACGCTGGTGAGTGCAGTGCGTGTATGTGGTGTGGTGTGCTGCCATTTAGTGGGGTGGGTGGGTTGATCAGATCAATGCATGAATGCTCTTATTGCTACTGGTATGTATGTATGGTGCGTCTTGTGTTGTGAGACAGACAGACTGGTTTTGACTTTTGGTTCCCTCCCTCGACAAATGAATCAGTCAAGTCCCATATGAATGCAATGCAATGCAATGCATGGATGTCACTCACTCCCCACTCCACTAACACCGACCGCACAAAACAACCACATACATACCCAACGACACACGCCATGCCGTATGTATCGACACACACTCACGAAGACCCCACCTCAACTCAACGCGCACGTCAACCAAGTCAGTCAGGCGAAGTTTTTGAATGGGTTCCCACCGGTGCGTTCCAGCACCTCAGCCAACTCCAGGAATCTTTCTTCTTTCTCGTCCAGCTCAGCCGACACCTCACCCAACTGCCCCCACAAGGCACTCAGCTCGCGACCCGACGCACCGCCGCCATCGATGGTCTGCTGCAAAGCCTCCTGCCGCCCCCTCAGCTGCTGGATAAGCTTAGGCAGGAGGTTGACCTCTTTCTTCTCCGCATTGCTCAGGGACGACTTGACGTTGACATTATTGGCTAGCGCTGCCGCTGCCGCTGCTGCTGGTGCTGCTGCTGGTGCTGTGGATGTCTCGCTGTGTCTGGCGGCTCTCTTGCTGTCTTTCCTGTCGGCCTCCTTCTCCATCTTCTGCTTTTCCCGAAAATAGTCCATGAACTCATCGAATGAGCAGTCATAGCGGCGGATGATGCCGTCGCCTTCGAATGAGAAGAGAGTGTCCGTCGTCCGGTCCACAAACGCACGATCTGCGTATGGATGGTGTACATCCGTTCATCGGCTGGGCTGTGCTGGGCTGTACGTGTCGATGTGTTGTGTATGTGTGTACTTAGCTACCATGTGAAGCGATGACAACCACACCAGGAAAGGTCTCCAAAAAGTCTTCGAGTGCAGAGATGGTCGCCAAATCTGACAAAACACCACCAGCCTGCCCGTGTCTCTCTCTCTCTGTCATCTCTCTTCACTCACCGAGGTCGTTTGTGGGCTCGTCGAGCAGGAGAAAGTTGGGCTCCTTGACCAGCACCGACAGCAGCTGCAGCCTTCGCTTCTCCCCGCCGCTCAGCCGATCCACATAGTCATACCACCGGGTAGACGGAAACTGGAACTTGTTCAGCAGCACACGGACCCTCTCTTGCCGGCCTTCCAGGCTGCTCATGGCCGGAGACCCCACACCGAAACCAGAGCCACCTTGCGATGATGCGTCGGCGGGCGTGCCGAGGTCCGACAGTTCCGATACCAAAAAGTCGAACAGGCGTGTGTTTGGCGGGAAATCGAGACCCGATTGGCTGTAGTAGCCGAAGCGGACTGTCTGGCCGACCTCCACATGGCCTGATGTGAGGGGCTGCTGGCCGGTCAGGGTGCGGCAGAATGTGGTCTTTCCACAGCCATTTTTCCCGACCAATGCAATTCTGTCGCGGGGCGCAAACTGCCACACGCACACACACGCTAACACAAAGAGATGACAGCCAGACGACACTGTGAGTCGGAATGCTCTCCCTGTTGACCTGGTAGGTGAATCCATCGAGTATGGTCTTGTCATCGAAGGCCACCGTAGCGTCCTCAAAGGCCACGATGAAGCTGCCGAGCCGCTGGGACGCCTTAACGCTGCTCAACGCCACCGTCTGCCTCGACGTCCTCTGCGTCTCCAGCCCCTCCTTGACCTTCGTCTTCAGCTCCTCCACCTCTAGCAGCCGCAGCTTCGATTTTCGCTGCCGGGCTTTGGCGCCGCGTCGCAGCCACAGGATCTCCTTCTTGAGCCTTGACTGAGCCGATGCCAGTTGTGCCAGCTCGTTCTCCTCTATTTTGGCCTTTTCTCGAAGATAGTAGGCGTAGAGCGAGCCCTCGTAGCTGCCCTGGTAGACGTAGAGATCCTTCATGTCGATCTCGAAGACGTGGCTGGCGACCTTGTCGAGGAATGCCCGGTCGTGTGTGGCGATGAGCACCGCCATGTCGCCCGCTGCCACTGTCCTCTCCAGCCACTCGATGGCGAAGAAATCCAGGTGGTTTGTCGGTTCGTCCAGCAGCAGCACGTCCGGCCTTCGGATGAGTGCCGACGCCAGCGCGACGCGCTTCCTCTCTCCGCCAGAGAGGTCCGATAGCAGCCGGTGCTTCAGCCCCTTGATGTCAAGCCCCTCGAGAACCTGGTCGATGTACGTCTGGACGGACCAGGCTTCCTCTGCCTCCATCTCTTTCAGTGCCCTCTCCATTGCAGCATTTGCCCTCATCCTGTCGTCTACCAGGTGGGCTGATGAGCCTGGATCATCCTGATGCATCCTGGCTTCGACGCCTTCGAGCTGCTGCAGCGTGTCGTAGTAGCGCCTCACTGTGGCGAGTATGGGCACGTCGGCTGACCAGATTGCGTCTTCGACGGTGGCCACACTCATGCTGATGGGACCAGAGGGGCCTTTCAGTGACACACCATGCACCAGAGGGTCCTGCTCCACCTGGACACACACACACACACGCGCAGACAGGCACACGCAGAAACACAAGTGAATGCCTCACACGAGCGCCAGCTGCTGCCTTGTTTGTGTTTGCTTACGTAGACAACTGAGCATTGCCCTTGACGCTGCACTGTCCCCTCATATCCCTCCCTGTCGGCCAATACGCGCAATAATGTGGACTTGCCGCACCCATTCTTGCCCAGCAGAGCCACTCGCTGCCCTTTGTTCAGCGAGAAGCTGAGATCCTTGAACTGATAGGTCTCGCCATCATTGGCCTTGCTGAGGTCCTTGACGACGATAAGCTCTGGCCCTGTCTGAGCCACGACAGCGTCCGCCATCCTGATGCCGACTCTGCTGCTGGTGCTGCTGCTGCTGCTGTGCATTGGCCGCCGATGCAGATGGGGCACACGACGCAGTAGCCTGATGGGTGTGACGAAAGATGCTGGAGGCGTCCATCGCTGGGCAGCATGATAGGCTTCGCATCGCCAGCGCCAGAGGAAGATGAATAGCCATGACGTTGCGCGGATGAGATCTACCCACACCATCGCGATGAGAACGAATTTGAACATTTCCTTCCTGCTCAGAAGTGCAAGTCGGTCCAGGGTTTAGGGTCTAGGGTTCATAGGCCGACGAAGGGCGGACCGGCGTCGACGACAGACGCGCATGACACGTATTGAATACAATACACGCACCAAAAGGTCTCTCTCGCTGTTATGAATGCATGCAGCCATGCACTGCACGCACTGCACCAGGCTATCTATGTCACACCCAGCGGAAGACAGATCTCAGTCGACCGACTAACGCACTCACTCACAATCGGAATCCGAATATCCCTCCGATTATTCTCAAGATGAAATTGCCGAACCGGCCGAACATCCGCACCATGGTCCGCAGGGCCGTCAGGTAGAGGGCGTTCTTGACTATCCGCCCCGCCATCTGCACCATCGGGTTGCTGAAGATCTCACTCAGTGCCTTGGGCAGGCTCGGCTGGGGAGGTGGCACATTGCCCTGCCCACCGCCCGTCGGCCCTCCCGCCCCCGGCTGCTGCTGCTGCTGCTGCTGCTGTCCGGCCCCCGCCTGCCGGAAGAGGTTCTCAAAGAGACCTTGGAAGGGCGGCGGGACGCCCGGGCCTCCACCCATGCCACCGAAGGGCTGCTGAGGGCCACCGAAGCCGGCTCCTGCTGGGCCCAGGTCCCTCTCTCCCACCTGCTGCTGGGTGGTGCGGCCGTCGGGGGTGCGTGTGGTGAGGATGGTCTGCTCGATCAGACGGCCGTCACGCTGGATGATGACCCGCTGGTAGGAGGTGGATGAGGCCCCCATGCCGTTGAACCCACCCATGCCCATCCCCGGCATGCCGCCGGGGAAGCCGCCCATGCCGGGCATCCCAAACGGACCTCTCATCCCCCGCAGACCCCCAAATAATCGCATGAGCTCCTCGAGCTCAGCTTGGTTGACGCGACCGCCGAAAGCCCCCGGCCCCCTCCCTCCCGCGCCTCTGGCCCGCATGGCGGCCGAGAGGATCTCCTGGAGAATCTGATTGACACTCCTGTTGCCGAACATCTGGCGGAAGATGGCCTCGGCCTCCTCGGGAGTCATCCGGTGGCCGCCGGGGAACCCGCCAGGGAAGCCACCTGGGAAGCCGCCTGGAAAGCCCTGCGCACCTCCAGGGAAGCCTTGGGCGCCGCCTGGGAAGCCGCCTCCGCCACCTCCCATACCCGCACCGCCCCCTCCGAAGCTGCGGAACGAGTCGTATTGGCTGCGCTTGTTGCTGTCGGAGAGGCACTCGTATGCCTCGGCGATGTTGCGGAAATTCTTCTCGGCCTCTTCGCGCTTGTCGGGGTTTCTGTCTGGATGCCACTGACAATGACACGACACACACAGCCAACCCAACGCACACACGGACAGCAAGCAGACACATGAGGGCCAGAAAAGGCTTGCGGACATGAGAGCTGCAGGCATGTGTTGTCATCATATACCGACCTGAAGTGCGAGTTTTCGGTAGGCCTTCTTGATGTCGTCTTGACTGGCTCCCCTGTCGACGCCAAGACGTTCATAAAAGTCTTCAGAAGATGTGTTGGCGAACCACCGGTGCTGTGTGTGCGGCACCCGCGCCCTGCTGGCGATGATCCTCCGGAAGGACGGCAGCGCAGCGCACGCCGAAAGAGCGCGAACGCCACCAAATAAAACGGGCAGCGCAGCGCCATGGGTATGGGTCAGCAGCGGTGCTGCATGCCGCTGCAGGACATACCGCAGCTCTCTTCTCATTGTCTTGATCTTGGGAAACAGTTGCTGAGCATCGCTCCTTCCACCATCGAAAGCCTTCTCACAGCTGAAGAAGTCTGATTTCTCAGTGTCACTCAGAAGCCCTTTGTGAAGACAGAGGCTATTAAGCTCGCGTTCCGATCGCTCCTCGGCGGAAAAAAGCTTGTAACGAATTGAACTGCGCAGGGCGTGGGTCAGGCAGGCAGGTAGCGAAACAGGATCGAAAAAGGGATTGTAAATGGCGGTTTCTGTGCGGGTATCGTCGACGGTGCTGGCGGCCCCTCGAGGCACCCTGGCTCTCGTCCAGCGTCTGCCGACGGCCCCCCGAGGCGCCTCCGCCTCGAATGATTCATCGCAATCATCTCACTCTCTGTGGGGAGTTATGAAGCGAGGACGTTATTCAGGCCGAGATCTGCTTAGGACTGCTCCTCACTGCCGCACTGGCAACGCCAAAGTGGCATTTGCACGCATTATTCAGCAGCAGGTGACGGAGGGCACTACACTCATGGCTGGATGGATGGATGCCTGTGATTGATTCCTCCTGTTGACTCATGTGCAGGGCCGGTATCACCGGTTCTTCAGCTCAGCGTCGTCTGCCTCGCCAGCCATGGCTGATGAGCAGGCTGTAGGCGCTTCCCCGACAGAGGAGGCGGCGGGCCATGAGCGTGGCGATGAGGCGGGCAGCGAGGGTGCAGCGAGTGATGCGGTGGCTGAGCCTAAGCAGAACAAGCGGCTGCTGTCGTGGGCGAAGCGCAGGGCTGACTCGTGGCTGCAGAAGGGATGGCTGCTCCAGTAAGTCAACACAGACAGACAGACCCATTCATGACGCCTGTCTGTCTGTCTGTCTGTCTGTCTTTTGGGG